GATGGATACGGCTTTTCCGTTTCGTGCTTTGTTGTGAGCTTGAGTGTTTCCTACGTGTTGACAGTGTCACTCAATTCCGACGGTCTGTATGGATGGTGGGATATGAAGTAAAGAAAGTAAGAGAATGCTTGTGATAATGTTTAGTGGAGTGTACCAAACAGTTTGAAATATAGATACTACGTGAAGCGAAGACAGTTCTGAATTCCTCTTATTGGTGTTGATGTAAATGGTGATCCTTCGTGTTAGTGAGTGTTCACTGTGGTATAAATTTAGGCATGGTTTATAAGGATTAGGATTGTGGTGAGGGTAATTCACTGGATGGATATATGATGTGAGGAGGCGATGTGGTTATGAAGTGATCGGAGTATGGGTTGTACGCTTGTGTACTGTTGTATGACTAGGAATGTGGAGGTGGATTTCATGTGAGCTATCTCAGTCTGGGTGTTCTGTGTGTAAGGTGTAGGTGAAGTGTGTCTGAAGTGCAAGGGTGCGGTTGTTCAGGCATACAGACGGAAAAATCGTGATAGAACCCAAGGCAATTGCATCGGTTGCCACACTTCATAGATGGTATTCGAAGATTTAGTGGATAGGAAAAGTGGACAAAGTAGTGTGAGAGGATAAACACATTGAAGATGTAGGTTATTGCAAGTGCTCAAGCTTTGGAGGACGTAAAGGAGGATAGATATGGGTCACTTTGACTAACTTTCAGTCATGTGACCGAGAGTCCTTGACCGCTTATTCGTATTTTCCCAGACCAACAGTTAGCGACTTCACGGACTAATATCACGTGTTTGTCTGGCCACTCTGAACCCTCTTCTAACCTAATCCAACTTGTCCTAGCATTGGATGTCGAGATAGACGGCGGTTCAGTATGCATAGTATGTGTCGAAGCCACCTTAGCCTCATCAATCGACTTGCCTGGCACCCTTTACCTGACCTCAATATCGGTCGCGTGGTGATTCCATAATACGTGAACTATGCTACGAAGAAACCTACGATCAAATCCCTTTAATCGCTTCATGTCATGTACTTTTTATCGACCATGTCTCAGCCGTATAAGATGACAGGACAGACTGCAGTGCAGTTTACCCGTCCTTTGATATATAGTCGGATATCTCTTTAGTCAGTGCCACAGATGACGCAAGTTGGCAAGTGGCAAACAGGCCTTCAATATCCGACCTGAGATTCTGTCGGCAGCCAGCCCATTCAGGTTGATGCAAATCCCTAAGTGAGTGAAGTGGTGGACACATATGACGTGACTTCACTCTCTATCTTTGACTTGGGAGTAGTTGCAGACTAGTCCTGAGGCATCATCTTACATTTGACATGTGCGAGACGCATGTTCAACGTGTTTACAAGATCCTGCATTATGTCAGCGTCTTCACCTAGCAGGACAATATCGTCAACCAGATGACTTCCCGCGAGTAGATCAAACCCTGTGAAGTCAGACGTGCCTAAGGTTGTATCTATTTATGCGTCTATGGCGAAGTTGAACAGGAACGGTGACAGTGGGCATCCTTGGCGGATGTCACTAGTCGTCGTCAATTCTGATGACAACTCTCCGTAAACCCCTACAGGACTGTGTGATTTCAAGTAGAGAGATTTGATTAGAGTTACATACTTGCTCTATGGTATCTTCGCAGTCAGACACTGCAACAACAACTCTTAGTTGACATAGTTGAGGTCAATAAGCATTGCAGATATTGGCCACCAGCTAGTATGCCTGTGTTTTGTATCCTGTCAAACGGGGAAGATGAGTTCTATGGACTCTCATTGTGGTGTGAAACCCGCCTGATTTTCTCGAGTTTGCTGCCGTCGGGCTCCAGTTAGGTATTGCATAACTATGGACCCTAGGATCTTGGACACGAAATTAGTCAAACCAATCCCTCTGTGTATGCCACAAGAAGACTCCTCTTCCTTCCTATAGACTGGGATGATCAGTGACCAGTCTCACTTTGATACCTCTGATTGTTTTGCACCACGGAGTACCTGCGTGATTTTAATTAGCAAATTCTTACCCTTATCTTTGAAAGCCTGTGGAGGTAAACTGTCTGGTCCTGCTACTTTGCATCCTTCCAGGTTCCATAGAATTTTCTCGAGGTGGCTATACATCACTTGGCACCAAAGTAAAAAGTCTTTTATTGTTTGTTTTACCCTTGTGGGGCGATGGAGACTAGGTGGTTGGGGGTTCATGGGACAGGAGAAACCATTGGTTGGAGACTAGGTGATAGGACTCAGAACCGATGTCAGTGGCGCAGATGTATACACACATTATCCTCATCTTAATATTATACCGAATCTCACAATTTTCTCATTCTTTTTTTGTCTCATTTGGCACTACATTTCTTTCGACTGAATTTTCTTTTCTTCGTCTTCCACTTCACTTTCTTTTTACTTGATGTACCGATGTGAGCTGTGGCAACTTGAACCGTTACACAGTAATGCCTGGTCCTATGTTGATTTGGATGGATGGCTGTAGAAAGTTTTGGATATCCTTTACAAGGTAACCAACTTCTGCTTTCAATATAGTTAACAGTTTGCTCTATGGCAGGACACCTCGAATTTTGTCGTCATCACATGCTACGATACGTCGGTTTGCGTGAAGTGGACAATTTGTATTAGATTGAATCCATTGAAACTTTTTTCGAGTAACTGTGTTTCTGAATATATTTACAGTACTTGTTGATCTTCCAGTTGATTTTGTATTTTTGTTACTCTTCTCTTTCCTCTTTGTAGTTACACATAAATGAGGTCCTAATTCTTGTGTTTTTATTTTTTCTAAGTCAAACAGATTAGATTTGGCTCAGCTTGAGGCATTGTCTTTGTGTGTTAAATCCAGTGAGATACGCAACTACACTAGTCTCATTGATACAGACATTCCGTTGGAAAATTTGAATAGTCAGACAACAGATGTGATGTCTTTCTACAATCTCGAACCAGAATGCCTAGAATGTAATTTAGTTGACTGTTGTTATCAATGTGAGAACAGTAAGTATTCACGTAAAATCCATAGAGAGATTAGAAAACTGGTCGTAGATGAAAACCGAATGGTCATCAAACCTAATCGAGGAAGGGGAGTAGTTCTCCACGGCAAAAAGGACTACGTAAACAAGATGAAGGATATTCTGATGAATAGGTAGAAAACTCAAAACTTGAGGAAGCGAAAAATTCTAATAAACTAGAGATAAAACTGACTAGATTTGTGACGAAAGTGAAAGAGTAACAGATAATCCCTCCTAGCTTATGTGATAAGATCAAGCCTACAGGTACATACAAAAAACGACTATATGGTCTGCTTGATACATGTAAACCAGGCGCAACAATTAGGTCGATTTTTGATGTGCAAAATTCACCTTACCGTGCTGTAGTGAGGTGGCTAGTATTTCGTTTCTTCGCTGGTACATGTCTTGTTCTTGTTCATCAAAATATGGGTATATTTCGTCAGACATTTTTCTGGACAAATCACGAAATAGTCATGTGGATCAATTTATTCGAAAGTTTAGATTTTACTATAGATATAGAGATGATACATTAATCCTTTGCAGAAACAGTTAGTATAAGTCTGATATGCTAACCAAATTCAATGAGTTATACCCAAACATAAAATTCATATATGATGAGGAACAACAGGATATAATAGCTTTTCTGAAAGTTCTGCTTTTAATTAGAACAGATGAGTCGCTGAAGAGGAATCTATATAAGAAAAGTACATGAACGGGCCGATGTACGCACTTGTTTAGAGCGGTTCGTGCTCCAGTATAAGCGAAATTTATTAAAGAGCCTGAGTTAGAGAGTAAGAGCCATATGCTGAAAGAATACGATCGATGAAGAGTTGAGAATGTTAAACACCATCCTAATTGAAAATGATAATCCAGACGAGACAATAAAAAAAGCATGCGGCGACTGAAGGAATAAAAAAAATGTATCTGCTTGATGCCTTTCTTTGATATCTGTCATCTACAGTTGGTAATGAATAAGAACTAAGATCTCTGCTTATATACACGTTCATACGCATATTCAAAGAAATAAATATATCGACATATGCCCCTGCCTATACATACATACGTACGTGTTTGTTTATCTATTTGACTGTGCGTTGTCTGGACGCGCTTAGCTGTGGCTATGCTTTTGTATGGAGTGTACCGAAGAGATCTATTTTCTGACTGAAAGGGAAATGGATGTGGTTATTTGGGGTTGCGAGTGACTGGAGCGCTTGAGCTTAAGAATCGAGATGCCCTAGTGCTTCGGTTACGTAGTAAAGACGACGCTGTATATCTAACAGTTGTAGCGTTGTATGATTGGGTGGTTCATACAAGTAGGTTGATATCGTGAAATGAGCACTGAAGTTTTGTTGCCAGTAACGTGTGTGTTTGTGTACGGCTTCTCCGGTTGACAGGTGGATGATGAGTACCTTGGTGACCGACTGGTGATAAGTTGGTGACGAATGCTCACGTTCGTATGGTAAACCGATGACATTACTTACACTACATTGCTTGATACAGATTCATTCTTGACGTCAGTCAGCTGGAAGTTGATGCCCCGAAATTGGACGAGGAGGTATTTTGACTGGTCTTGGATAGCTGTTTGTGATTTTGAGGTTAGTTGGATAATTGGTCGTAGTTTCCGATGAGTCTATGATTGCATTTTCTAATGTTTCCGTCTTTATCTGTATGTGATGGATGAGTGGATGAGGCGTCTTGTGACTTGGTGATTTGTTTCCCACAAGAGGCTGTCTATCTGTATTGATTTTTATTTTTTACGGAGTCTAGTATTACTCTGTGTGTGTGTGTGTGCTTAGTCGAGCTTGCATTCATGATGAGCTAATTGCGTGTCATTTGAATTTGATTTTGATATGCAGTGCTAGTCTGATAAGGATTCACATTGTTCTGTTGCTGGGATTATTTGTGGTTTGCTAGAAACAGATAATGAGAAATTGATATGCTGAATATTTGTTTTATTTTGTTTCACATTGTTTCCTATTCGAATTTTTATAAGTCACTTCAGTGTGGTTGTTTTTCGACGTTCAAATGACGTATGTGGTCGGATGCGGCTTCCCCTTCGGTGCTTTGTATACTGGGATGTTTCCTATTAGTTGATAATGCCATTCCATTCTCTCCGTCTGGATGGAATATAAAGAAAAAATGGTATGAGAATATTTCAGACAACGTTTTGTTTTGTGTTATTGCTTGCATTAGACAGTCGTTGTTTGAAACAAATTCTTAAGTCTCTGTTGGTGTATGGGATTGTGTCAGGATGCCTCGACATTCCGTGTTCTGAACTGTGTATTAATGATGGATAGGACGAAATGCGCATCATGGATTCCACTGTTAGCCACTACATAGTTCAGAACACAGGCAACATCGAGGCATCCGCACAGGAGCCAATATACCAATAGAGACTGATCATTTCGATCCAGTCAACAACGGTGTAATACAGGTAATAACACTAAAACTATACCAGTCGCACAAGAAGTTGCTCGGTGGTGTAGTGGATAACGCTCTGGCTTTTGAAGTGATCGCTCCAGAGTCTGAATCCAGCTTACGAGTCACAAATAGGGCGAAATGCGCACCCTGGATTCCACTGCTAGCTACTATCCATCATTAATACATAGTTAAGAACTTTATTATGGATTAGAAATTAAGTTTAGGGGATTTATGTTTTCTGGATATGATGGTTTAATTCCGTATTCCATTGTCCCAGTATAACCTCACCCGGTTAACTAGTTCACTAATTACTAGCCGGTCCTAAGCCCGGATAAAGAGGGAAGGATGGTCATAGGGCTAGCAACCCTACCCCGTGAAGCCAATCTAACCGCTAAAGAAACTTGAAAGCACAAACAAAATATAAAAAGTAAAAACGAAATTATTCCTCGCTGGAATCGGGGAGACGAAATGACGCCAGTTGGTGAAAGCCTTCGGAAAGCCAAATCGCCGACATGTCTTCTCTCGATGAAAGCGAAAGTAAACATGATGACATGGAATGTCTGCACAAAGCTTGAAGCTGGCTAGCACAGCTGCTCAGATTGTCAAAGAGATGGGAAGGTATAGCATACAAGTGCTTAGAATCTGTGAAAGTAGGTGGAATCGAAGTGAACTCTCCAAACTGTCAACTGGAGAGTCAACAATCTACTCCGATATTGTCACCCCGACGACAATCACGAGCACACTGAGTTATGGAGTGGCGGTCAGGATATCCCCAAGAGCATCAAAGGCTCTCATGCAGTGGGAACCAATCTCCTCCTGCAGCATCAATATCATGACAGCAAGATTCAACTCAAAAGGAAGGAAAGTCACAATCATATAATGCTATGCTACGCTATGCACCTACAAATAATGCAGACCAAGAGAAGAAGGAGGAATTCTATAGGCAACTGCAACACATGGGTTGAGAGGCACTCGGTGAAGTGATAAATGAGAATGGAGAACAGTGTGCAGATTTCTGCGCATTCAACGATTTGGTGATTGGAGGCAGTGTGTACAAACACAAGGATATTCACAAGGTAGCGACATGGACTTGATTTCACTAGACACCAGGACACACTAAAAATCAGATCGACTTCATCTGAATGTGAAGCAAGTTGAGACGCAGCCTACTTGACACAAGATCAAGAAGAGGAGAAGATGTAGGCTCAGACCACTATCTAGTGCAAGGAACCTTCCAAATCAAGTTGAAAGCCTGGAACGAAGTTGGTGATAGACCATAGTTGAAGTTCAATACCCGGAAACTGAAGGATGAAACTACAAAGAAAATCTTCAAGTCAGTCATCAGGACAAAATGGGAGACATTAAACAACATCCCTGAAGGAACCTGCATAAAAGAACATTAAAATTCCTTGAAAGAGATGTGGAAAGAAACCTGCATAACCGTAGGAAAAGAAAACAGGCCAAGGAGTGGATCTCGACGGACATATGGAAATTGATAGAGAAATTGGAGGAAGATGGTGAAACAGAAGATAAACCAGTGCAAGGATGAACAACGAGAAGAGGAACTGAGTACAACGTATAAAACTACACTGGACAAAGAAGTGAAGAAGAGTGCGCGCAAAGATAAAAGACACTTCTACGACACATTGACAAGTGAAGCAGAACAGGCTGCAGGTAAGAGAGACAGAGACCTGACAACATTGTATCAAATAACCAGGTTACTATCTGGGAAGAGATCAATGCAGCTGAAACTAATGAAAGATAGTAAAGGAAACTGAGTTGCCACGAAAGAGGACATACGAAAGTAACAATGGGCTGACCACTTGAAGAAATACCAACACCACCTGCAACTCGTCTAGAAATACCACCAGCAGCCTAGTCACAGAACTATCAGTGAACAAAAGCCCTCCAACAGAAGCAGAAGTGGAGTCCTGAATGCCATAAAAGTTGTTGAAATGCGGGAAGACTGCAGGACTAGATGGAATTCCTCTAGAAGCACTGGAAACAGACACAGAGACAACAGCAGCGGACATGATCACCACTACTTCAGAACGTTTGGAAGGAGGGAAGGAAAAGTATCTGCTTGCCGAGTGGAAGAAGGGGTATCTTGTCAAACTCCCAAAGAAGGGCGACCTTTAGATGAACTGGCGAGGAATTATGCTCCTGTCCACCCTAAGTAAGCTATTAAGCCGCATCATCCTGAAGAGACTAATCAATGCTCTGGATTCAAAATTACGACTGTAACAGGCTGGGTGGCTTAAGGAAGAACAAATCGTGTGCGGATCAGACTGCAACGCTACGCTACGCATCATCATAGAACAGAGCATAGAATGGCAGTCAACTCAACCTCAACTTCATCGAGTTTGAAAAAGGCTTCGACAGCGTCGACCGAGAAGTAATTTGGCAGCTGCTTCAACACTACTCTTTTAGTACCACAAACTTTTATCAACCTCATTTAACAGCTATATACTGTATGATGCTACATGCCAGGTGATTCACAATATAAAAAAGCTCAGTGACTGACGCCTTTGAAGTGAAGACAGGGGACAAAAGTAAGACGAGGCTGCTGCCTACTATCACCGATGATCTTCTTGATTGTGGTCGACTGGATCATTCAGCAAACCATGAGGAGTGAGATAACGGGCATACGCTGGACGATGAAAAGACCTTAGAAGATTTGGATTTCGCCGATAATGATTTGTGTCTAATATCTCACAAACTCGATGATCTATGGGCAAAAGCAAACAAGTTGACAGAAGCGACAGCGAAGGCGGGTGTTAAAGTGAACGTAGAGAAGACAGAGGTGATGAAGGTACCCAACCAACAATAACAAGCACCAATCACCGTCAACGGGAGAAACCTAAAGGAAGTTATCTCTTTTACCTACCTAGGCACCATCGTTTCAACTGAGTATGTCAAAGCCAGGATCGGAAAAGCAAGACAGTCCTTCATTAGCCTGAAACCAGTTGGGAGATCTACTGAACTGCTCTCAGCATAAATAACAAGATCAGAATTTTCAACACTAATACCAGTCGATTCAGTGTTTCTGTGTGATGGTTCAGAGACTTGGCGCGTCACGAAAAGCATTTCCGAAAAACTACAGACATGCATCAACAGCTTCTGTCCACGTTCACTCGATGCTGAAGATCAGATGCCAGAACAATAAGAATAAGCAACAAGGAACTCTGGCTGGCAACGAACTAACCAACCAACAACCTATCGCTCAACAAATATGCAGAAGAAAGTGGAGGTGGATTGGATACACACTTAGGAGACCATCCGGGGACATTACATGCCAGGCCAGGCCCTCAAGTGGAACCCGAATGGGAAACGACGAGTTGGGCATCCGAGGCAAGGGTGACGTGGAGGAGATGGTGTGAGAAAGAAATGAAAGGTTGTTGGCAGTTGTGGAGCCAGGTTGAGAAGACTGCAGAGGAGAACGTGAAATGGAGACATGCTACTGAAGCCCTATGTTCCACTAATCATCATCATTATCAACATAGGACCAGGCATTACTGCGTAACGGTCCGAGTTGCCACACCTCATATCAGCACATCAAGTAAAAAGGTAGTGAGGTGAAGGATGAAGATAAGTGAATGCAGTCAAAAGAAATATAAAGTACGAGAAGAAAGGAAAGAGGAGTGACAAAATAGTGAGATTCGGTATAGCGTTGTTAAGATGAGGATAATGTGTGTATACATCTGCGCCACTGACTTCGGTTCTGAGCCATATCACCTAGGGTCTCCAACCACTGGTTCCTCTTGTCCCGTGGACCCCAACCACCTAGTCTGCATCGTCCTACATGGCTTAAACCAACAGTCAGAGACTTCATACATTGGTGCCATGTTTTAGTCTGGCCACCTCGGGCCTTTTTCCAGCCTGAACCCACCTCAGCCAACATTGTGTGACGAGGCAATCGGTGACTAGGCATACGTAGTACGTGTCCCAACCATCTCAGTCGATGAAGGTTCACAACCTCGTCGACTGACTTACCTCTTCTCCCTAAAACTCTACACCTAACTTCTGCATTACTCACATGGTGACACCACGGAATACGTCCTATACTACGAAGGCAACGGTGGTCAAATACCTGTAACCTTCTCATGTCTTCCACTTTCAATGGCCATGTTTCACAGCCATACAGTAGAACAGAGCGGACTGCTGTGCAGTACACGCGACCCTTAATAGACAAACGAATATCACGGCGGCGCCATAGGTGGCGCAAATTGGCAAAAGCCAATCGAGCCTTTTGTATCCGTGCAGAAATCTCATCGGCAACTAACCCACCGGGTTGATCCTACTTCCCAGGTAAGTGAAGTGGTCAACACACTCAACCACTTCACTCTCTATTGTTAACCGCGGTACCGCTGAAGACCAGTCCTGGAGCAAAAATTTGCATTTGGGTGGTGAAAATCGCATCCCAAACATTCTCAAATTCCCACTCAAAGTGTTCAGAAGACTCTGCATCTTGTCAGCGTCTTCACCTAACAGGACTATGTCATCTGCATATTCTAGATCTAAGGAAAATTCACCTGTGATCCGGTCAACGTCTTTGTAATTAGGTGACGAGAGGGAAACCTCCATAAGAATATCTATGATAAAATTAAATAAGAATGGGGATAGTGGGCATCCTTGACGGACACCACTTGATGAGTATAGCTCCCTGGACAACTCACCATAGGCTCTAACATGCCCACAAGTGTTCGAGTAGAGAGCTTTCAATAAGGTGATGTACTTACTAGGCACGCCTTTCAGTGACAGACACTGCCATAAGACTTCTCGATCAACGGAGTCAAATGCCGCCTTCAGGTCGAGAAATACAGCTATTGTCGGGCGTCTGTAAGCATGCCTATGTTCCAGGACCTGGCGCAGTGTGAATATTTGGTCGATACATCCACGGCCAGGTCTAAAGCCTGCCTGGTTTTCTCGGGCTTGCTGTTCCCGAGCTCCACTCAGGCGTCGGAGAATTATAGAACTTAGGATCTTAGACACTATGTTTGTCAGGCTGATTCCTCTGTGGTTATCACAAGAGGACTTCTCGCCTTTCTTGAAGACTGGGATGATGAGTGACTTAGACCAGTCGGAGGGGATCGTATTTGATTCCCATATACTGGCTAACACTTCCGTTAGCCTGACTAAGAGAACTCTACCACCATTCTTGTATACCTCAGCAGGTAGTCCGTCTGGTCCTGCTGCCCTTCCCCGTTTCAGGCTACCTACCGCTTTCTCAACTTCTTCTAGTGTTGGGGGACCTGTCTCTATGTCCCATTCAGGGTCCGACTGGATAGCGGGCAGCGCAATGGTGGCTGGAGGCCAGTTAAACTGTTCCTCAAAGTGTTCTGCCCATCGTCCCAGTCGCCTTCCCTGCGAGTGAATCGCCGATCCGTCCTTCTCCGCTATAACCTCACTAACTGTTGTTGACCATTTCCCCCCAGTCTCCTTAATAAGTCTAAATAACTGTCTACTGTTACCGATCGCCGCTGCCTTTTCCATCTCTTTAGCCTTTGCTGCCCACCACTGTTCACGATCGTTGCGCAGACTTTTCGTCAGTTTATTTTTAAGTTGCGCTCGCTCTTCATTGTACTCAGAGCCTGCAGGGATGCATTCACGTGCATCCATTAGTTTGGAAGAAGCTGCTGATATCCACTGGCTCTTTTTAGCCATTATCTTGGAGTCGGCTACAGTCTCCAGTGCTGCTTTTACAGTAGACTGAAGATGGCACCAAGCTTCTTCTGGATGAGTGACAGTCTTTTGTTCCGATAACTGCCTAGCCAACTTCTCACTGAACACGGCTTTGGTGTTTTCGTTGTCCAGCAGAACTCGTAGTGGTTTTGTTGCCAAATTTTTTCTACGTCCATTGAGACGCAGGCATATACGTGCTCGGACCAACGCATGATCGCTGTCCAAACACGTACTCCAGAAGGAGCGGCAGTCTTCCACCGATCCTCTCCAGCGATGACTAATAGCAATGTGGTCTATCTGTGTCCATCGCTGAGTCGAGCTCGGTGGACGCCAGGTCAGACAGTGCCTTTCTTTATGTCTGAAATTTGTGCTGGCTAAAAATAGGCGGTTATCTGAGCATAGTTGTAATAGGCGATCACCGTTATCTGTACGTTCAGCTGGGATTCCGAAAGTGCCACCTAAGTGCCTTTCTGCCTCACTCAGTCTACCCACCTGTGCGTTGAGGTCACCTGCAACAACCACTACGTCCGAACGTTTGGCTTTCCACTACGAACCCAAGAGACAAATAATAATAATAGTTCTGATATGAACTTTGAAGTTTCTCCTCACTAATTTCGTTTCAGGTCTTACTTTTGTCGAATTAAATCCGCACCTGTATGAAAGTTTTATTTTCGATTAGTTTCTTTAATGTTAACTGTGAGGGTTTAAACAAGCTATCTTACGTTTTTAATGTTTCAAAATGATCTAACTCAGTCAGCTTCGGTTGTTTTTTGAATGCAATTTTTCAGGGTCAGATGATCATTGCATAGTAAAGATTAATGTGGACATCAAGTTAAAAGATTGTAACTAGTAATTTGTTCTTCAAATTGTGTCCGTCAAAGACGTCCAATATCTGGATTCTAACTTTTTATTATTATTGAACTACTAATGGATGTCTCCCTCTCTCCTAGTCTGACTTTGCTGAGGTCCATCTTATCATAGGAGACTTCTTAGTGAACCCAGAGTATTCAACTGAAGTAATTCTATTGTGGATGGTTCTGACAAGATGCAGTCTTCTCAGCATCTTCACTGGGAAACTGAGAATGTTTGGGATGCGTTTCTCATCACTCAAATGAATTTTGTCCATCTAGGACTGCCCTAGGTTGACGCCCTGTCTAACGTGAAATTATCAGTAAAGTGGATGAGTGTGTCGACTACTTCAACTTTTCGAGAAGTTAGATAAAGCGTACTGGGTCTGTGACCAATGAATTCTTGGCATGAACACAGAAGGCTGGCTTTACTTTTTCCAGACCATACCGTTAATGGCACCACCGTGATATTTGATCACATATTGAGAACCGAGAGTACTGCGATATATTTCATTCTCCTCTGGAATATGACTACGAAACATGGCTTTGGAAAGTAGCGGACGTAGGAGGACTTCGGTTATTCGACTATCGTCGGCTTCAGCTGGCAAGCGTTTTGTGGTGTGGCCACGATGGTCATTTAGAAGTCAGGAGTGGAGTTTTGGGCAGAATAAGGAAGTCAGTTGATCAGGTTATGAAGCTTCATCAACTCCGGATGGTTGGACCATATGTTATGCACACCCAGACACCATCTCCTGCATCATGAATTCCTGGCTGAAGTGGGTTCAGGCTGGAAAAAGATTAGAAGCAGTCAGACTGAAAAATGATATCAGTCTATGGAAATTTAAATCGTTTGTGTGAGCTGTGTATGAAAATTTAAATCTCTTGATTGGGATCTACGTAACAACCAAAAGTGGAGGTCTGGAACTCTAGGTAACATAGCTCAGAACCGATCGCAGTGGTGCAGATTTATCCACACATTATCTTCATCTTGACTACCATTCCTCTTATTCGCTTCTCACTACTCTCTACCTCGTTTGATTACTTACTCCTTTATTTCCTTCTGCCTTGATGTCCTGATGTGAGGCGTGGCAACATGAACCGTTAGGCAGTACTGCCAATTTCTATGATGGTGCCGAGTGGTAGAAAGTAAAGTGAATTTACTTGAAAGGTAGAAATGGAATGGATTTCGCACCAGAAAGTGGTCACTGTGTGAAATGGGTAAGTTAGTATGCTAAAAAACATAACAATATGGTTAGTGATAGACAAAATATGCATAGAGTTAACAGAATTTCCAAGTTTTTTTTCCGAATAACAGGGAAAGACAACAATGCGGATAAAATTATGTTTTTTTTAAAGGAAACGGACCTAAAAATAAAAATGAAACGTGAGGACGACGTAGAAGCATTTAGTCAATGGAAGACCATAGTGGGGGATGAGACTTGAAAAAGTTCTTTTTAATTACAAAACTTAGAACTAGTTAATTTTATAACCACAGTTTCAGCTGTTTGGAGTGGCAAGTGGTGTCGGCTTCGGAACATAGTATTTCCCAGCCAAATTCACGTTAGCACCTATGTTGTGTTCCGAGTCTACCAAATGCGCTAATATAAAGTATCTAATGGATATGAGCTAACTTTTTGCAAACCAAGCCAGTAAATGTTCGTGTGATGAGCATCGCTGATTATGCATGTTACGCAACTTTTATCACAGGAAGTGTTAAACTGGTATATAATATGGTAGTAATGTTTCTTCATGTTTGTTTTCACGATAGTATGCTCTACCTTATGAGGATAAACGTGTATTGAGGAAAATTGCTATGCTTCAACTGTAAATAATTTGTTTGTAGAGGTATATTGTACGTGTTGTGATATTGGAATCTATCACCATCTCTGTTTTGAAATATTTATGAAATCTATCGCTTTTTCATCTTGTAATGATTTTTATTCATTTTATCATTGTTTTTATCCACTATATGATGCACTTGGTTGAAGTCATTGTCCCTTTGTATCTTATTTGGCAGGGAGTCTTTTATATCTATCCATATGTCTATTGACTGTAGTACTTGTGTTTTTGTGATCACTGATTGAAGTGCCTATCTAAAAAAAATCTGAAGTCTCTCATAAAGAAGTAGCTTACCTGTATCAGTAAGTGAGCTGTTATTGGTTTTCCATATGAATTTGGCTTGAAGTTAATAATCAAAGGTGCATACTTGGATTCATTCCCAATTGATGTCTCTGTGGTATTATTCAATGGTGGTAGAGTTCCTTCCACGGGTTGGATGGTATATTCAGTTTGATTTCAGGATATAATGTTGCAATAAATTTCAGTGGTTCACTAAAATTCAGTACATATTTAACAACTTTTAAAAATTTAATAGAGATTTAGGGCACAAAGAATTACTAATTATTTGCTTATAAGTAGTTTGATGCATGTAACAGGAACAGGATTATAGGGCATTGAAATTTAATTACGTCACTAGTTAGAGATCGAGAAACAGAAACTCACACGAAAGTTCAACATTCCGGGATGCCTTACTTCAAAATGATAGAAAAAAAGGTACCATTGTATTTGAGTCTAATATTATTAGATGGAGAAACAGGTTCATTACTGAATCTTTGTTCATCAACAACAAGCAACATCTATACCACAGACGCGGAGAATTTTACTACTACTAAAAACAAAGAAGATGATAAGACTTTAAAAACTGGATGTCAAAAGCTGTGTGATGATTGCACTGATGTGATTATGAGCAATTATTTGTACTCTAAATGTTATCAAGTAAATAATGCCGTATCACTATGTGCTGTATTAAATAAATAATTCTATTATGGAATTATGTTCTTCCATAGTATTCAAGTTTTACATATTGAGAATAGTCTTCCAAAATAACGCTAATTTATATAGTCCTCTCAGTAGTAAAATATCTACACAAGCTTTTTAGATCCGAATTAACTTGCAACAGTAGGTATGGCAAATATATTTCCAGTCTACTGATAATCAATACTTTGTAATTCTAACGGAAATATTATCTGCCTGAATGATAAATTTCATGAAAACATACAGACAATTGTCGCAGCGAATTTTCGTTGGAGAAGCTTGACAGTCGGAAGCGTATTCTGGTTGGTAGCACGTCTATATCACGATTGTAACCAACTAATGATGCGTCATATTTCATATTTAAAGATTAGCCAACTGTTAATGGTAGTAACATTTATTTCAAAAGTCAATCTTCATAGTGTGTGTATGCCCTCAAATTATTGACTTCGTACTCATTTTCATTGTATTCGCTTTTCGCTAAACTAAAAAATCGTATAACTTATCAAATTCAGCTAGTCGATAATAACCCCTAATTCTTACTTTAGATCCTTGTCAAGTTGTCTTTAGCCTTCTTAAAGCATGATGGAGACACTGAAAAGTGTGTTTCCTAGTCATGATGGGGATGGAGGTTGTATAAATAAAGCGTGTACTTTTCATCATTCTGCCTTATATACCTACTTTGCTGGGGCGGAAAACTAGGGAAACTGAGTTGCTGTCCCTTCCTAGTTTATGACGTTTTATTATGTTACGTCCTCGAATTTAAGTGGTTTCTGAGAATAGCTACCATCAGAGTTCGATACTCTGAATATATAGTAATGTACTAGTGAAAGAGACAAGAAGACTGGTGGGACAGTACTCTTTAAATATGATACACCTTGCACTAAAACCGTCATTTGCGAAATGTGCTTTATTTCCTCTTCTGCTTTTTTCTTTATTTGCTCTTCATACGCCTGCCTTGTCTCTTGCGTTTTTCTTGGCGGAATCCTTACCCATTGTTGGAAATTCCCTATGATTTCTGCCACCCTCTCAACATATACTACCTATATTCATTCTTATCAGCAACGCCCTTTACACTAGTTACGATACATGAAGATCACAAAATAAAACTAATGCAAGGTCAGTGATGTTTTGCATCACAATCGGAAAACCTATTCAGTCCTTTCTGTATTGCAACTGGTTTCCAGCTAATTGTCACTTGGTGATGGGAAATTTCGTCATTATTATTCATTATTAGTCCGAGTTCGATAGTGATGTGAAGATTCTTAAATTGTAGGCAAATAATTCTGGAAGTATAAATCAGTCTCGTATTTACAATCATAGAGAATATGAATAAAAACACATACTCTAACCATACAACAAGAGACATTCAATTTCACACTAAATGATTGGTAATCATATTTTAGAAAGATAATGACTGTATGAAGAGGATCGGGCAAGCAGATTGAGTATACGCCCCTGGATTCATTTATATAACTTTGATATTTTAATTTTTGATCATTTCCCTGAAGAAGCATGGACCAGACGTCCATGCGAAACAGAATTGTTTCGTTTCAACACTCTGTGACTTGCACAAATACAAACTATGTCAATCTTTCGCTCAGCGTCCAATATATGTTATGACACTCAGTCAAATCTTGATCATAGTTCACATAAATAAATCAGTTCGTGAAAAACAGTCATCTTGGTTAATAAAAATATAAGTAAATAGTTTATATGATTGAAGGTAAACGTATTTTTATATTGTTTGCAACTAGATTACTAATAAAAATATCACTTTCAGTAGGCGTATCAAGATGAATTACCCCGCTGGTTAGTACAAACTGCTGATTTTTTTAATCTCCTCTTTTGATTACTTACTTTAATTGACTATTTAAGGCCAAATGAACTTTAACTGAACGACCAATTCCTCGATGTGGAAAATAGATTGTATCATCAACTGGAGGATCTTTCGATTTGAAAATCAGGCCAAATTTCCAAATTCCCCCAAGACACGTACGTACCATTAAATCTGCACTACATCTAAATTTTAAGGAGAAAATGTATGCAAATGTTTAAATTTGAGATCGTGTGAAGATTATTTGGAGTTTACTTTATTGAGTGCATATTGTTAATCTGAACTGGGCATATGAGAATAGTTTTATTATGTTAGTTTTGTCTGTCATTAAGGACTTTTTATCCCAGTACAAACAGTTTTACTCTGCTTAATAAAAGTATTTCGGTTTTAGATGGTGGGAATCACTCGGTGTGATTATCTGGACCTAAGTTTCGTGCTGGTTAGCACTTATCACCAAGACCTATCTGCAGTTATGTGGAACTGTCTAGTAATTAGTGCTTAACTACACCGACCTTCTGCTGGTGACAAATTAGCTGATAAAAGTAATAAATCTATAACAGGAGAATATTAGATTTAGAGCTAGCCTCTACCGAGATATGAGAGGTATCGCTTAAATAACGAGTATAACGTTTTAGTGGGGGATGTCACTTCTTCAATAGGGTAGCACATACGTTCTACATTCGATTATTCACCCAGAGTGGAATGTACAGCAAGTGCAATAAAATTTGTACACAAAATTTTATCAGCAAAGGTCGAGATGTACTTCAATGAGACACTTGATTGGTGAATTCCGGAAATGTTGATAGACAAGCAACTTTGGAGTTTCCTTAGTCTATTCATTTATAGTTGTTTTTAGCTTTTCGTCTCTAAAGATTTGTTATGATTCTACAAAATAGTCAAGTTTAAGTTCCAAGTTTCCATTTGAAACTGTCAATGCTGCCCATTTTAACTGAAAAGCTGTTATTACGATCCAACATTCTTCAAGATAAAGCAAATTTTGCCTACTTTTCTAAGGCTGATATTTCTTGAAACTGGTTGGTGTGACCAGTTGTCGTGGTAACTGTCATGGTTAGTACATTATGTCCGCTTGTTAACAGCCGCTGATGCTTTGAAACTGATTTGTGTTTAAATTCTTTATGAAGTAAATACTGAGGAAGTCACCTAGTCTGGTGACGAAACGTCTATGAACTATCCTCAAAGCTTGGAGAGCAATAAAAAATCATAAATTCTATTTCTCATCAGTAGGCAAGTCGGGTCTATGTTAGTGAGTCTATGTATAAATAGGAATGATCTACCTGTTTTGATATTTTACTGAGAACATCATTTATAATGAAAGCAGGACTTTCTAAGTCAAACTATCCAGTTTGGAAAACATGAAATGACCGAAAAGGTTAACTCAACTAGAATCTTTACAAATATAGGATTTTTTATTCCGGATAAAATCATCACCACTGATTCGACAGTGAACGCACCACTAGATGTTACAACTTTATCAGTGTGATCTTCCCCTCGCTACAACCAATAACTCTTGTTCAACTTGAAAAAAATATGTGTAAACATTTTTTTATGTGCATACCTTCGGTATAAGCAAACTCGTATTTTTATTTTACATTTTTCTTTTTGTTCTGAGTTCACTGGTATGGAGAAATATAGTTCACACTATGTAAAACTCATTCATTTGGATTAATTACAAGTAGTATTTATTTACAGTATCTCCGTCGCAAAAGAAACAACCATCTGATACTATCTAATTATTCCACACTTGTAAAATTATTTTCCCATTCGCATATGTCCTGTGCAACGTTTAGCTACATACCATGTTCCTATATGAAATTCAGTAACATGCTTAAGCTTACTTTTACCAGACATCGCGCGACAAGTGTGTGAATAAATTTTCTTTGGTGTACGCTTTTCAGCATACACTGTTTAGGAATACAGAATCCTGTGCTTTAGTCAATTCAGCAACAAGCCATCTATAGTTCAACTGCCTTATTGAAAACGTACCTGGCTGCGGTGCAAAGTGAAGTAACTTCAAAACTCTGGGAAATGATTTTTCTGCAGCTGTACGTGTAAATCACTGTTGGAAGCCAAAAAACATGAAAGTTAAGTTGTCGATGTCCTACCGGTTGTCTTCGACAATTCAAGACCAAACTTAATGATCGTAGGGTTAAGTTACTAAGCTTAGTAATCATACTGCAAAATAGGATTCACTGGGTACATATGACTATGCACTATGATACTGATTATTATCCAGTAACCTATTACTTTACCATTTTAATGACGCATGCATAAAGTTTTAATTGATTCTAATGCCTGAACGGTTGACCATTGTGATGAGTAATTTAGTTTAGTCGTATACAACAAATGGATCATGTTACACTGCGAAATGCAGCTTCAGATAATTTGTTCATTGGACTGGGGTGCAATGTGTATTCACTCTAACTTTGATGATCCTAAGTTGTAATGAAATTTAATTTCCGACTATCGATGGACTTTAGGATAAGAAATAAATAGCTTTCTTATTCTTGGAGGTAGTTCAGCCAAATGCTTTGACTTGAAATCTTAGCTAAAAATAAATGGTGGGAATAGTTTGTCTAAAGAAATATACAATATAGTTTACATTATGTAAGGGTTAACCTTGTTCTCGAAGTCATGGACCGAATATTGCAGATTTAATTTTTATTTTACCGAGTTGACTATATCAGAAACCATGAATTGATAGTAGATAGCCTTGAGTTGACAACCTAGTGGATTTAAATACTGTATTGTACTGGTTTTAAGTTCCAAATGACCATCACCAATTGGCTGTGCAGCATAATTTATTATATTATAACGTATTCTGGTTAAGGGCTTCGTTCATACCAGCTAATGAACAATCAAATGAGACGTGTGTGAAGCAACAAATTTAAAGGTACTTAAAAGCTTGTATTCGTTTCCTGTAGTTGTACGCGTCTTGTCTGAGTTATCCACTATTCACTCTCGATTACATAGTTGACAAACTTAAAATTACAATCACACTATAAACAGTTTATTTCTAATAGCGTGTTACAGCATATAGATGTTCTGATCATGGATTCATATCAGTCTACCAACTAATGCGGATAAAACTACAGGATACGAAACGAAGGTCTGTGAGTCCTCTGGAAGCTTGTTTCTTTTTCTATTTTAGTAGTAGTGATAATGTTTTTATCTTATTTAGAAACTCACTTGAATGAAAGTGATGGTGAAAATATCATGCCGACGTCTAGTTCTGTGAATTCTAAATCATCATGTTTCTTAACCTGAAGTAATTTCATGTTTAACGATCTCACTAAGACTTTATCTAATTCAATTAGTTTAGCTAAGGGTTCATCTTCTTTTTTTATAACCGGTTTCATTGTCCATTCTAAATTTCCCACTTGAATTTGTTCCCACAATGCTGACTGATTGAATAATGATTCAGTAGTTGCAACTGCGGTTTTACCAAACATTTGTTCATCAAATTTACTTCGTTCTTCTTTGGATGTCAGGGAATGAACTTCAATATCTTTCATTTGATCACGAAACGATAAATTCTGATCACTTGTATGAGTTAATGAGTTTAATAGTCTCAAAGTTACTATGTAGTATGATTTAGATCGTACAGTTCCATTGATCACAAGTGGCTTTCTAAATGCATTTTTATTGTAGTTACAATAATAAGGCAAGGTTAATTCTCTGGAATCCGATAATGGGTAAGAAAGTGACTTCATTTCCGGAATACCCTAAAAAGATAGAAAAATATGAAAGAGATAATGAAAATAAAACAAGTCATCATCGGAAAAATGTCACAAACATGAAGTTGCATATAAAAAACGGCATTTATGCATATTGGCAATATTCATTTTGCTGTAAAGTGAAAGATTATTTGACAAGAAGAAAGATAGGACTGAGAAAAAATTTCACACCAGCACAAGAAAACAGTTTTCCAGGACAGATTACCTTCTATTCAAGTCTTTCTAGTCACTTATAGCAAAACAAATGCTGGAATACTTCATATATATAATGTAAGGGAAAAACTTGGGGACTTTAGTAGAGTATAATTCCATATTAGATTGTTTATTTGACAGCACACAGTGATACAGTATAACTTACTGGATAACTTTTCGAGCAGAATTTATTGCTCATATTGATGTCAAAGTAATCTTTTGTAATGTTGCCGCATAAAGAAGGTAAGTCGAAAAATTTTGCCTAGAATTCTTAATAATGCTGGGATTTGGGTAGTATTTAAATCCGCAAACTCGCTCAAAGAGGAGCTTTATAGGTAGGCTAAAAGATCCAATGGAACCAATGTGGTAAAATAACCTAGTCTATCATATACCATGTAATGATTAGGAAGTCAAGTATATAGATCAAAGCAGCCGATCTGGGTCAGTCAGAATAGCAGAACACAAACATTTGGCGAAACATACAATGGTGGACCCTGGTAAGGTAAGTAATTTACAGAAAAACTCGGCTATCGCTCTGCATGCACTGACCTATAATCACACTATAGGGTGCCTAATCTAAAATTCAATATAGATAAATGGAGGGAGAGAATCTTTGATCGTTGAATCCATACTTAACTTAGGTAACAGGAGTGACGTATCACATATTGCAGAAATTTGGAAAAACTTACTACCATTAATATAAATGAATGAATTGTTGGACTATATAAAGGAATTCTGAAAGTTGTATGATTACTTTGATATGAATATGATCAATAAATTCTACGCGAAACGTCATCCCGTAAATTATGCTGTATCACTGTATGATATATCAAATAAACAATCTAATATGGAATAATATATATAAATTCAGCTCTTTCAGGGAAGAAGATAAAGAAAAAAAGTTTTCAGCAATTTTATCATGAATGTCTTGGAACAATTCCTCGGATTTTCTCAGTCTGTTGAGTTCAGGCTTTAGATTGCATGTAAAGATCAGTCAGCCTAGGAGTTTGTGAAACAGCACTAAGGTGGATCAAAAGTTTGTCTTGTATGCTCAGCCTCATTTACCTCATGGTAAAATGTTGGTTGGAGTAAGACTGAGGTGAAGGAAAGATGGAGGTAACCAGTCTGAGGTGTGACAATAAGCCATTTAGTTGCTGACTGTTGTTCTGAAGTGTTTAGAAAGAACAGATTACACAGATGACATCCTACAGATATGAGAAACTAATAATTGAGGACTCTTAATGATACGACTGAAGGCTGGTCATATCAGTGCAGATGTATCTGGAATTCATTTTTCTCTTAATCTCCAACGCTTGTTACGCTATATTTATTCGGTTACTCTCAACAGATATTCTTTTTCGTTTTCCTTTATGTCCCTATTGTTCGTTGAAGTCAATTTTCTGTTTGTCGTGAATTATGGTAACCTGGGTGAATGCACTTTTACTCAAGGTTTAACGTTGTTGTTTTACTACTTTAACTAATTTTCTTCCCAATCGTAGTAATTAATTACACCTTTAGTTGGCTGAATGTATGTCAGAAATCACTACTAGCTCAAATTGAGTAGTATATATAGCTTATTCATGACACTTTTGTGTCAGAGATCATATACTGATCTTGGCTGGTTAGTTTTCAACGGAAACCATGCTGATATCACAGTTGGGCAGTTGAAAAACTACTCCTCTTTATAAAATTTCAACGTGGACCGTGCACTTTGCAAATCATTTGCAAATTGACCATCATATCACTTCCAGTTCTTTTCATTTTAAATTTCAGAGGATTTTGTGGTATCATTAAGCATAAAGAGTTGACTTCATTACAATTTTGAAATATCGTTTATTAGGAGCCATGACGAAGCATACTCTTAATGAAGACAAATACTTTTGGCATATTATTGCACATTACTTTTAGTACAGTTCAAAAACTTATTAGTTACTTCCTAAGAAAGTTAGTTTGTCAAACGAATTAGGTATTTGGATTGATTATTCCCCATCTCCAGTTAAAACAATAAAATTACACCACATTCATGTAAAAGCGAAACATTTTTATTGTGCTGTATAAGTTTGTCAAGTAACTTCGGTCGGCCATTTAATGTAATGATTGGTTTTCAAATGAAGTCAGTTAACCCTGGTTATAACTGTAAGTAGAGTGATCAAATGCAATTGTGATGTCTTTGTTACAGGTTCACCTGAGTGAATAGCTGAATAAGATACTTTATTTGGTTACTTTGACATTCTTCATTTTCCATTTTGGAACAGTGATAGTTCCATAAGGTCTGATTTGGAGAATATGGAAAGACCAAATCACTAGTCAAACGGGCTGTGAATATATTCCATGACAACCCAAAGTAGAATAGAATTAGGAATTACTGACATAAAATAATCCTTTGTACATAAAAAAAAAGTGGTTGAAATGCCATAATCTTAAACTATGTACCAAACAGGTAACAGTCAGTCAAAGACAAGAAGTCCAACTTGTAGTCAATAAATTTTTTACCAGTTGACGTAAGGCTGCTTTATCGTTGGTTATGACAGCCCTAATTCTTCGCCTCGAAAATTATTGGAAAAGTAATGAGTTTTAATGCATTTTAAATACATCAGAACTATAATGCTCATAGTGAAGATATTCTCATTTGACTTTTAGAATCATTACCTTTATACCTAACCTAAAGATGCTATATATATAAAATATTATTTTAACATTTAATGTTAGTTTTTTCCAATAACCGATAAGTGTCAACAAATACAAAAATATGACCCTTCGCTGTTTTGGTCTGCAATTTGTGTAGAAAAGTTGTACATTTATAACTTACTTTTATCGGAATCAGCCAACGTATAGATGATGATTTCTCTACTTTACTTGATCCACATTTGGTTGAATTTGATTTGTGCATAATAACTGTGCAAAGGGCTTCATGTTCTCGCATTTCAATCGGCGCATAGGATATGGGTATTTCAAAGACTGTTTTACTCTTTAAAGGTATATTTCTAATCAAGAACAAGACAAATAATCACATGCTTTTTGTTACTAATTTTATTTTCACGACAGGTTATGCATATATATATATATATATATATATATGTAGCATATGGCATGGAGACTAAAATAATGTCAAATGTCTTACTCTAAAGACTGAGTTGTACCTCATGAACCATAGGCTGTCTAGCTGAAAATCATAAAGCACTGTTTACGTCACATATGGTTTTAGGCAGTTACCAAGATCATCTAGTTTGCTTACTTTTTTGTATGTTGTAAACAGTAATAAATATGGTTTATGATCAAAGTTTTAGCGACATTTATCATTTAGGTGTGAATGCAAGATCGAACGAAAATGATCTTTTGAATGTTTCGTTTGCGTTTGTTCCAGTACATACCAATATCTTATCAACAGCAGGAAAGAAAATAGTTCAATGCGTTCAAAACTTTATTTACCTGGATCGGTGTAGAGTAGAATCTATGAGTGTATACCAAGGATTAGGTTACACTTTACTGACGTGAACCACTGTAAGTGCCAGCGAAATTTCCTAATATCGTTTAGGAGTAGAGCGTGCTTCACAACAGCGCAGAAAATATTAAATTACCCGTGCCCTGAAGGCGCTTAACACATGTTCAAAGATTTTGAAATGATGGGAAATGTTTAAAACTCATGTGTTATGGAAACATCATAATGGTATTACGAAGGTTAGTGTCATTTTCTTTTAGTCTTAAGGGCTTCTACAAACGTTGTTACCATTATCTTCATTTCGCTGACTTTTCTATTGATGAGCTGGTATAAAATGAAGTAACCTGAATCGATAAGTGATCATTTTAAATACTGCACTGTTCATATTTGTTTTCTTGCAGTCGTCTCAAAAAACCAGTTACTGGTAAACCATTAAGTGATAATCCGCATAAAAAATCACTACGTATCAGCCAGTTGATGAAAACTAATGGGCAATTGTTTATCTGAGTCTGTCAAACAGCACTAATCTATAATCATTGTCATAACAGAATCAAAGAGTACCACAGCAGTTAATAATGTCTAGAAGTAAAATAATTCATAATCTATATTGGATTTGTTTATTTGATTTATAACATACAGTGATCTAGTGTTCTTTTACTTGATGACGTTCGAGCATAAATTATTGCTCATAATCATTATGAACAATAATTTATGCTCGAAACGTCATCAAGTGAAAAAAAATACTAGATCACTATGTGTTATAAATCAAATAAACAAATCTAATATAGAATTAATTTTTACAACAGTGCTCAAGTTTAACACCTATGTTAATTCATAATCTGACTAACACAACTATGAAAAAAACCCATTGAATAAATATCTTGTGCGAGGTAACCACTGAATTATTTCTGGTAAAACTTTCTCTTACTTTGTCGTTTCATCAAAAGTTGAAAAGTTGAATAAATATTTATGTTGGCTGGCCTGTCTGAAAACGCTTTCAGTAATGAATCACCATATTCACAATTGCAACTATTTATCTCATCATTACTGCCACTATCAAAAGCTGACTGTTTGATTAGTTCATTGTTGAGTTGTTTTTTAAATATGGCATTGCGAGTATCTTCTAATTGCTTGAATAGTCCACTTAAAGTGGATTCACTTAAGTTTATATCTAATACAACATCATATTTGAATGGATTTGTAATCGGGACTACCAGTGTTGTAGCTGAACCGATCATAACTGATACGTTAATTGGATCTCGCGGTTGAGGTGTCAGACCGCTGCCAAAATAGCATGAAACACCATTCTGTCAGCTAGAATTATTGAATGAAACAGTAATCATAAATGAATTAAATGCAAAGAATAAACATTGAAGTGCATAGTTTTAATTCTAGAACAACGGTGCCCAAATACTTTTATTGATGTTTATCGAATTTTCCTATTTCGATTGCCTCAATATGAGATAGCCAACAAAACTTGTCACTGAGTTGTACGACATTCAGTGAAATCAGCTTAAGTAACACTATTTGTGTATAATTAAGATTCATATTCATTTGACGCCTAAAGTAATCTCAGGAATAGTAAACGATCTTGGTTGTATTGTGTTCTCTGAGCTAGGTTGTTTAATTGTGAAGCTCCCATCGTCTTTCTGGATGACATCATCAACACTAACTTCAGTATGAAGTGAGCTGTCAATATCTCTCCGTGAGTGATTTAGTGGCTTGCTCTGACGATGTGGTCTGTGATTGGTTGTTTCCTTAGACGATGAAAGCTTCACGATTTAACAACCCAGCTCAGAGAACACAATACAACCAAGACCATCCACCTGAGCTACAAATATTCTCCATTACAGTAAACAATAAAAGTAGGTAAGTAGTTGAATCCATGAGAACTTTGTGGATTGTGGAATGAATTATTTTATTGGTAATAAAGCAGATAAGTGTCACAGGACGAGGATGTATCGATTCAATCTTTCTGAAGTGTAAAAATATTTCTCAGTACTTATTAATGACTGCATTTCCTCAGTTGAAGTATTCAGAACCTAATAATTCATGACAGTTTCTGGCTGTCTAATTTTGGAGACAACACGAGGTGAAGTTTGTTTGCTCCATCAGTCAGGTAACGATTTGTTATGGTTTTTCATCTGGGGTGGATACTCATGTTGTTCGATCATACTAGTGTTAGACAAATTTTCCATAGGTTTTAGTACTGAGGTGGCTTAGTTTACCTTCAACTTTTCAAGGTCTATTTCCGTGCAAGGAATCCTTTTGACCGACTAGATTAACTTTGATTTCATTTAAACCAATCACAAGCTTCTTAAAAAACCTAAGGAAAACAGAGTTATTTTTCTTGTAGACCATGTCTGTATGGTCATGTGACCTAAAGATAGGAGCCGAAATAGTTTTAAGTCTGTCTTCTACCATACTCTTTTGAAGGGTAGCATCTACGATGATAGCGGTCAACAAAATCAAGTGTGGTAAAGGTGAGACATTTGAATTGTAATTTGAGGATTGGAATATTACATCGTGGTCTCTTAATCCCACTATACGGCTCGCTAACTTGTCAAGTATTGATCAAAGATGCCCTTCGCCTGATAAAAATATGGATAGTGTGTACTCACCAGTTCGTATATCTTTCTATGGTAAATGGCTAACATAGAAGTGATTATATTTCATTAGAGGGCTACGAAGGGTTGATTTCAAGTATATTTCATTACTGCTACTGTTGTGTTTATCTGAAGAAACAGCCGAAACCATCGAGATGTTAAGATTCATATTTAGAAACAGCTTTAAGCCAACAAAAGTAAGTTAGGTTGACGGACTGTTTTCTGTTAATATGCTTACGGTGTATTTTTAGTTCGTGAATTTGGAGACTACCTCACCACATTTTGTCAATTGCATCAGAAGTATGGAAAAGTTTCAAGATATGTCGAAAAATGTATTTTATTAATTGCTTACTTGATTGAATGAACTTACATTTGATGAATGAAATAACAAACATATCAGTAGTGTGTATTTATTTAGCGAACGTACAAAAAGTAATTAAATTAAAAAATAAACTCGATGAAAAAAATATTCTGTAATGTTATGTATGTTAGTCTAATGACTAAGGGAACACATGAGAAAATAAAAATCACTTATCCTATGGCTGCACATGAAGATTCTAATCAAAGGGAGTGGTTGAATTCTGACGAACAACAATTAAGTGCTGACAAACAGCTTTAAAATCTGCTACTAAGATACTAGTCACTAAAACTCGACTTTAAATTGTGACTATCTAAAATAGGCTTTAGTGTTATCGTGAAAAGTGGCACAGATTAAATGTAAGTGAATATGTAGTGCACCTTCCCGGCACCAAAAGGCAACTAGAGATGAAATAAATAAATTAACTGAATATTAACTAAATAAACTTCTAGCTTGCCTCCGGATGCTTAAGATGTTTTAAGTTGTTTTTTTTAACGAGCAGGCTCCAACGCCGTTCTGCGCTCGTTTTGTGCTGGTTAACACGCAGATAATCGGAGTCCCTAGTTCAGCCATACCCAGACAGATATGTTGGAAAAACTTTTCTCCTAATAATTACTACCACATTTATTCTAATCAAATAAATTGCTCCTCTGAATATATTCTTGAGTATCAGTCTTTTTTATTTGCATTTCCTTATCAGTACTTACACGTTAGGTAAGGTACTGACTAAATAGGGACTAGAACACATCGATTTAGATAGGGTTGGTCAAACGTTACGTAACAGTATCACGACCAGCAACCCCCAGAAAAAAATCATGTTCAGTAAAAGTATCCGTGATATATCTCAAACCTACTTTCTCTGAATGGAATACTATCGATCCTTGGTGTTCTGCTTCTCCAATAGCACATGGTGTAAATTTTAATCCGAGATATAATGTACTTTTTGGCTTTAATTTAATTATCCCGTCTAGTGTACTTGAAGCACTTCGATTGATCAATGATGCTTGAGATGAATATTTCAAATCTTCACTAAGAGCTAATAAACCATCTTCAGTATATTGACATATTGTTGAGTTTTGTAAGTGGGAGTAAACATCATCAATTCCTGATGCTTTTGAGGACGTTATATTCGCTAGCTGGCTAGCTGATGTAGCTAACTGTAATTTGAAGACTTCAGTATTGAATAATTTTGGTTTTAAAATGTAAAATTCATCAGTTGGGTTGTTTAGTACTATTTTAGTCACTTTTGAGCTAAAAAAAAATTGAATACAGGGAAAGATAAATAAAAAGAGATGAGCACCAGGGCGGAAAAAAAAATCACGTTTAGTCTGTATATACCATTTCAAATGAATAATCAATTACTGCTTACTAGTGAATTACTTTGCGGTAAATTCCTTGTAGCTTAATACCAAACCTGTGACATGTACAGTAATTCAGGTCTACGGAGGTGATTACAATAGACGACAAACTATATCATGATAAAACAACTTATCACTGCTCCGTGGTTTAAATTCTTTCCGCTTTATCCTTAAGAAAAACTTAGTTCAGTTGATTTTAGTGAATAATGATGGAAATTTAAAAGTATTGTGAGAAAGCAATAGGTACATAAAAAGGAATCTTTTCGAAATCCTTTACCACAGCTCTATGGTTACGTAAATTTAAATTTGGAAATATCACAAGGTTAGAAGCTAACATCGATAAAAACACGATGTAAACTGTAAGTAGAAAGACCAAAGGTAATATCCAATGAAAATGAGTAAATTTGTCTTACGTAGTATAAAAATATGAATACATTCGGTAATGAAAGGATTTCAGAAGTGCTTCATAACCAGTTTATGACAATATATATTTGCAATGAGTGTTTACGCCCAATGTAATTACAAATATATTTATGATAAATTGATTCTCTCCACGGTGCACAGAATTTTAAAGCTTAATAAATATTAGAGCTTAGAGGCAGGAAAATTATACACAAAGGCACAAAATGATATACTACAGTATTAACAAATGATTTGAGGACAAACTTTTAGGTCGTTAGAAAACGGTCAAGCAGCTTTGCAACTGCTGCTAAGATGCAGAAAGAACCGGGTAACACATTTCTGCACATAGAGTTCAAGACTTTTTCTATGTATAGCAACAGCTTCTGTTTCACAAAAAGGATGTAGTTAAAATTCCTTTAAACGAACTAGTTTCACTTCACATATAGTGTCAAATAAAATCTCCGTAGAACCTAAATGACGTAAGAGGATAACCTACTCCAGAATTTAGGTGTTAGTTGACTTACATTGGTCTTTCAAAAATCAGGTTGATAAAGTTTCATGAAAATGCCTATCTACTGAGCTGCATAAAAGCAAATAAAGTCATACAAACATATATATGTTGCTAACAACAGTGCCTTGTCTTTAACTTCTAGTAAACTAGAGTGTGAGTGGAGAAAATAAGACACAGAGATGTTACGTAGTATGTGTTTGCAGCTAACTTTGATAGGTTAACCTCTTGAACTCGACTAAACTATATCATCATTAAATTTAAGATTCTTTGGCAGTTTTTCAAAAGAATTCCAATTTTCCATGCACATGTCTTTCGGGCATATGCAACAAATTCTTGTGACGAGGATGGTAATCAGATCCCTTTTTCTTTTCATGAGAAAAAAACAAAAGCTTATCAGTTGCTTATTCTGCTTAGTGTTCCAATAAATCAGTGTTCTCAGTAATTCATCAGTTGTTCCTAGTAGCTTAATGTCTACGTAGGGAAGGAAATTTTCCAAGTTAGCTTCAAGTGTAGAATGAATGAATGAGAATCTGAGGTACAGTTACGGGTGGATCAAAAATTTTAAGCTGTTTATTAACTCAAGCCTTAATGATAAAATTTTAGGTATACTGTGGTTTCATGGTAGATAGAACAAATTATCTATTCATAATAGCGGTTTTTTCGTACTCGCTTCGGCGGTACATATACTAAAATTGGAACGATACAGAGAAGATTAGCATGGCCCCTGCGCAAGGATGACACGCAAAATTGTGAAGCGTTCCATATTTCTTTTTTTTCCCCGACCGATAGCTGCTACCTTGACGTGGTGGTCGGGCTTGCATATCACAATGACCCAACGAGCTATGCTGGTGGAACGCTTGTTCCCTCGAGGTCCTACCATACCAGAAAGGTCTGTTGGGTAGTGGTTAGACGAAAAGCAGTTACCGTTATAGTGTAAATTGCTACACTATGATGGGGGTCTGAGGGCGAAGTCGTACTGCTGCTAGCTGGATGGGGTGTGACAGCAGTAAGGTGTTTCCCTTGGATGACCAGCAGTGCCAGCTGATGCTGCCTTCTCAGTGGAAGGGGGGGTTAGAAAAGGTCGGCCCCAAAAATAACACACTCCACCACGCCCCACGGTCTGCCGGGCCGGCGGTGTTGGTTCACTTGTCGTTTCCTTTCGACCATCCGGCCCCAAAAATACAAAAATTCAAAATAATCATACTCAAAAGGCTGGGTGTGACAGGCCTCAAGCAGATGTCCGATGGGCTCTGCGGTCACACAAATCTCTTTCAGGTACCTTAAGAAGAAATAGCCTTCCACGGTGTGGGCAGCCGGGAAGTGTCAACCGCCCTCACAACTCTGTCAGCACCCAAGTTTCTTCTGACTGCTATCCTCCTCCTCCATCATTACCTTCTAATCTTCCTTCACGTCTCTTAATTAATGATGCTGCATCATCTTCAATTTCTCCTACCTCTGCAGCCTTCGACAACGATCTGAGTCCACAGAACAGCATCCCTGGTCTCCTTAAACCACGCTCCAAATTACATATTGGAGCCTTCAATGTCCGCACCCTCCGTCAAATTGGCCAACAGGCTTCGTTGGCAAAGACTCTAGCAACTCGGGCATGGATGTGTGCTGTGTTTGTGAGACACGCATACAGGACCCAAGTGTGGTTATTCACCTGACCTCTCCTGACCAATCTGGTGAATCTGCAAAATTCACCCTTCGAGTTTCTGGAGATTCGATAGCTAGCTCTCGTGGTCTTGCAGGTGTAGGTATAGCATTAAGCACCAGGGCAGAAAACTCACTACTAGACTGGATCCCAGTTGATAGTCGCCTCTGCGCTATGAGGCTGAACGGCACAGTGAGAACTAAAAGGAATAGTGAGACTCGCCGTTGTCTCTTTGTAATCTCTGCTTACGCACCCACTGACTGTAGTTCGGATGAAGTGAAGGACGAGTTCTACCATAAACTGTCTAACCTCCTCTCGAAAGCCAAACGTTCGGACGTAGTGGTTGTTGCAGGTGACCTCAACGCACAGGTGGGTAGACTGAGTGAGGCAGAAAGGCACTTAGGTGGCACTTTCGGAATCCCAGCTGAACGTACAGATAACGGTGATCGCCTATTACAACTATGCTCAGATAACCGCCTATTTTTAGCCAGCACAAATTTCAGACATAAAGAAAGGCACTGTCTGACCTGGCGTCCACCGAGCTCGACTCAGCGATGGACACAGATAGACCACATTGCTATTAGTCATCGCTGGAGAGGATCGGTGGAAGACTGCCGCTCCTTCTGGAGTACGTGTTTGGACAGCGATCATGCGTTGGTCCGAGCACGTATATGCCTGCGTCTCAATGGACGTAGAAAAAATTTGGCAACAAAACCACTACGAGTTCTGCTGGACAACGAAAACACCAAAGCCGTGTTCAGTGAGAAGTTGGCTAGGCAGTTATCGGAACAAAAGACTGTCACTCATCCAGAAGAAGCTTGGTGCCATCTTCAGTCTACTGTAAAAGCAGCACTGGAGACTGTAGCCGACTCCAAGATAATGGCTAAAAAGAGCCAGTGGATATCAGCAGCTTCTTCCAAACTAATGGATGCACGTGAATGCATCCCTGCAGGCTCTGAGTACAATGAAGAGCGAGCGCAACTTAAAAATAACTGACGAAAAGTCTGCGCAACGATCGTGAACAGTGGTGGGCAGCAAAGGCTAAAGAGATGGAAAAGGCAGCGGCGATCGGTAACAGTAGACAGTTATTTAGACTTATTAAGGAGACTGGGGGGAAATGGTCAACAACAGTTAGTGAGGTTATAGCGGAGAAGGACGGATCGGCGATTCACTCGCAGGGAAGGCGACTGGGACGATGGGCAGAACACTTTGAGGAACAGTTTAACTGGCCTCCAGCCACCATTGCGCTGCCCGCTATCCAGTCGGACCCTGAATGGGACATAGAGACAGGTCCCCCAACACTAGAAGAAGTTGAGAAAGCGGTAGGTAGCCTGAAACGGGGAAGGGCAGCAGGACCAGACGGACTACCTGCTGAGGTATACAAGAATGGTGGTAGAGTTCTCTTAGTCAGGCTAACGGAAGTGTTAGCCAGTATATGGGAATCAAATACGATCCCCTCCGACTGGTCTAAGTCACTCATCATCCCAGTCTTCAAGAAAGGCGAGAAGTCCTCTTGTGATAACCACAGAGGAATCAGCCTGACAAACATAGTGTCTAAGATCCTAAGTTCTATAATTCTCCGACGCCTGAGTGGAGCTCGGGAACAGCAAGCCCGAGAAAACCAGGCAGGCTTTAGACCTGGCCGTGGATGTATCGACCAAATATTCACACTGCGCCAGGTCCTGGAACATAGGCATGCTTACAGACGCCCGACAATAGCTGTATTTCTCGACCTGAAGGCGGCATTTGACTCCGTTGATCGAGAAGTCTTATGGCAGTGTCTGTCACTGAAAGGCGTGCCTAGTAAGTACATCACCTTATTGAAAGCTCTCTACTCGAACACTTGTGGGCATGTTAGAGCCTATGGTGAGTTGTCCAGGGAGCTATACTCATCAAGTGGTGTCCGTCAAGGATGCCCACTATCCCCATTCTTATTTAATTTTATCATAGATATTCTTATGGAGGTTTCCCTCTCGTCACCTAATTACAAAGACGTTGACCGGATCACAGGTGAATTTTCCTTAGATCTAGAATATGCAGATGACATAGTCCTGTTAGGTGAAGACGCTGACAAGATGCAGAGTCTTCTGAACACTTTGAGTGGGAATTTGAGAATGTTTGGGATGCGATTTTCACCACCCAAATGCAAATTTTTGCTCCAGGACTGGTCTTCAGCGGTACCGCGGTTAACAATAGAGAGTGAAGTGGTTGAGTGTGTTGACCACTTCACTTACCTGGGAAGTAGGATCAACCCGGTGGGTTAGTTGCCGATGAGATTTCTGCACGGATACAAAAGGCTCGATTGGCTTTTGCCAATTTGCGCCACCTATGGCGCCGCCGTGATATTCGTTTGTCTATTAAGGGTCGCGTGTACTGCACAGCAGTCCGCTCTGTTCTACTGTATGGCTGTGAAACATGGCCATTGAAAGTGGAAGACATGAGAAGGTTCAGGTGTTTGACCACCGTTGCCTTCGTAGTATAGGACGTATTCCGTGGTGTCACCATGTGAGTAATGCAGAAGTTAGGTGTAGAGTTTTGGGGAGAAGAGGTAAGTCAGTCGACGAGGTTGTGAACCTTCATCGACTGAGATGGTTGGGACACGTACTACGTATGCCTAGTCACCGATTGCCTCGTCACACAATGTTGGCTGAGGTGGGTTCAGGCTGGAAAAAGGCCCGAGGTGGCCAGACTAAAACATGGCACCAATGTATGAAGTCTCTGACTGTTGGTTTAAGCCATGTAGGACGATGCAGACTAGGTGGTTGGGGTCCACGGGACAAGAGGAACCAGTGGTTGGAGACCCTAGGTGATATGGCTCAGAACCGAAGTCAGTGGCGCAGATGTATACACACATTATCCTCATCTTAACAACGCTATACCGAATCTCACTATTTTGTCACTCCTCTTTCCTTTCTTCTCGTACTTTATATTTCTTTTGACTGCATTCACTTATCTTCATCCTTCACCTCACTACCTTTTTACTTGATGTGCTGATATGAGGTGTGGCAACTCGGACCGTTACGCAGTAATGCCTGGTCCTATGTTGATAATGATGATGATGATGAATAGCGGTTTTAGTTTGTGTAATTTGCAACTTGTATTTACTACAATATTGTGCTTTTGCGTCACTTTCAAACCACTTACATTGGTTTAGCTACATTTCATGAATATGTACAGAAGTTGATAGAAAATAGGAGGATTCTGAAATCTGTTTTTTTTCTCTAGAAATTAAGTATTCACAACCACTTTTAGGAGCTTATAACGAGATACAACTGGAGATGTCCCCATTGACTAATATTCCCAGTTCTTCTTTTAGTGTTCTTAACATAAACTTCAGGTAGGCAAAAAAAATTTTGAGTGCTTGTGTTCAAGTAAAACAACTTAATGCAGATATAATTTTTTCCAAGAGTAAAGGGTATAGAGCTACGAAAACATTTGACAAAATGCTGACCTCAGAAACATAAAAAGAAGTCATCATGGAATAAATAAATTGATGACATGATGGTTAATGCAATAATGTAAACATTGATTACCTTCCTAATTCGGCTTCTATAAGTGGCACATTGACAGATTCCGGTTTTATGGCCCTCAATATAAGTTCAATCCAAAACTCTCCACAATTCGGGTTATGAAAAATAACACTAAACAAGCGAAAACATAAAAATGGGTTGAGTTTTTGTTTTGATTTCTTATTAACTTATCCCCTAGTTTAATTCAGTTATACGAACCAAACTTAAGCAGGTCTATGGAACTGATGTAAGTAGAACAGTGGACTATGTTTTTAGTGCTTTATTTCGTCTCATCTAGTCTACAACGGACAAATACTCGGCAAAATCAGAATATTTAAAGCTATCGAAAATGACTCAAATGGGGGTTTGTGTAAGGATTACTTGGTCTAAAAGTATTATTCATCATGGGTTGGCATTAGTTGGAAAACAGTAAAAGCCCAGCAGATAGATGTTACGCTTAAGTGGTGGTTGGGTCTGCATATTACAATAAAATTACGAGCCACACTGGCTGGAAATTTTTTTCTTTCAGGCTCTAAGATGCCGGAAAAGTTGTTGAATTGTGGTTAAACGGAAAGCAGTTCCTGTCATTATGTAAATAGATCCCGTATGGTCAGGGGTTCGAGGGCGAAGTTGCATTGTTAGCTGGATGGAGTGTGAAATCCGTAAGGTGAAGCCATGGATGACTAACAGTATCATCCTGATACCAACTTTCCTATGATAAGGGTGGTTGGTCAGAAATCATAAAGACATACTTCCATCTGTTGTGCATTATTATGGTGTCTGAAGCAAAGGTTTTCTAGCTGGATTTAAGTCAACCAAAACCTGAAGCCCATATTTTCAAAAAGAACTTGTGTAGTCCAGCCAGACTGGTCTACATAACGGTAAGAAAGAAGAAAAGTATTCTCGTGAAATTCATATGTGGAATCAGTTTAATTAATACGGTTTACAAGACCATAACGAAAGGAATAAAACGGCAGCTGTGTATGGTCGTAAGCACTAGCCCAATTAATGTGCTTCATAATATACTAAATAAACTTGTACTAGGTTAAATAACATTGTATGCTATACTGATACCCATATCCGACATTCCAAATTCATTCGATGTCTGACTATAGCTCGCGAAAAATATGGAGGTTTTCAATATGAATGAGACAGCAAACATACGTTGCAATTCGGTTACGACAATCCCTTGTTCCTGACCACAATGACTTCGCGCATAAGGACAGACAATGTCTCATATAGTGTCCACTGACATCGAACCAACAATAGACACAGATAGATTACATGGACATCAGCCATCATTGAAGAAAATCAGTGGGGAATTGATGCTCTTTGTGTAGTACCCGTTTGGACTCCGATCACAAGCTTGTCCAGACTCGTGTGTGTTTGCTCCTTACTGGTAGCAGAAAACAGATGATAATAAAGCCTGTCTATGCTCTGTCGGGAAATGAAAACATCGAGTACACACTTGAAGAGGAGTTAGCTCGGCATTTATCTGAACACAACACCAATGCTCATCCTGAAGAAACCTGCTGTAGAAACACTGGTGATGACAGTTCGCAACCTACAGCCGAAGCTTAGCTAGTCTCATCAGGTCTCCACAACGTCGAGCTAACTGGCCAGTGCTAGAAAACTGATTCCAGCTAACTCTGACCACGATGAAGAGCGGAAGCAACTTCAAAGCTAAAGTGACCAGGTGTCTTTGCAATCGCCACGAGCAGCGAGCGAGATGGGGAAGCCATCAACTTTGGGTGACACTCGACAAGTATTTAGGCCGCCTAAAAATATCGGCAAGAAGAAAACAATGGTCAGCGAAGCCACCACCGAAATGCGTGATACGCTGATAACTTCACGGGACAGGCGAATAGAACATTGGTCAGAACACTTTGAAGCACAGTTCAACTGACAAGCAACAACGCTTCAGTTGCCGAAGATCTAGCCTAAACCTGAATGGGATGCAGATGTCGGTCCCCCAACTCTCCTTGAAGTCGAGAAAGCTGTATCGAACCTGGAACGATGCAAAGCATCAGGACCTGACAAGGATGGAGGTAGGAAATTGCTGACTAGAGTGACACAGGTGCTGCGTAGTGAAGAGGAATCAGAGCTGGTGCCGTCAGACTGGTCTACTTTACTGATCATCCCAGTCTATAGGAAGGAAGAGGAGTCTTCTTGTGACGACCACAGAGGAATTGGTTTGACAAATTTCGTGTCCGAGATCTTAGGGTTCATAGTTATGCGACACCCGATTGGAGCTCGAGAGTAGCAAACTCGAGAAATTCAGGTGGGTTTCATACCTGGAAGAGGGCGCATTGATCTTATTTTTGCCCTGCGAAGGCTTCTAGGGTGGAAACATACCTACTGGGAGTAGATATCTCCCATGTTTCTCTACCTGAAGGTGGAATTATACTCTATCAACCTTGAGGTGTCGTGGCAGTGTCTGACTGTGAAGGGAGTTTCCAGAAAACCAAATCATACCTACGAAAACTCTCTACTCGAGATTATGGAGTGTGGTTCTGTGATTTCAGGATAACTAGTGGTGCCCGACAGGATGTTCACTGTCACCATTTCTATTTAGCTTCGTCAAAGACGTACTAATTGACATATTCCTAGGCACTTTGGCTTCACAGGGATTGGTCCTCTCGCAATAGGTCATCGGGTTGACTTGTAGTATACAGACGATATTGTCCTGCTTGGTGAAGACACTGACGCAATGCAGGTTCTTGATCCGAAATTCGAGTATGTTTTGAATGCAGCATGCACCTGTGAAATGTAACATGATGATTCAGGATGGGTCCGTAACTACTGTCAGTTCAATGGTAGGGGATGATGGTGGTTTAATGCTTCTATCACTTCATTTACTTTAGAGGTTGGACAAACTGTGAACCTTCGTCTACTAATGTGTTGGACAAGGGTTGCGCATGTGGAGTCATCGCTTTCCTCCATGTGTCATGTTGAGGAAAGTTGGATTAGGTTGAAAGAAGACTCTTGATGTCCAGACCAAGACGTGGCACTAGTCGATGATCTGAGTCGTGTGAAGATGCAGACTGTCTGGCTGGGGTCTTTGAGACGATCGGGGTCAGTGATTGAGGACTCGTGGTGATGTAACTGAAAATCGATCACAGTGGCGACGTATTCACTGTTTAACGTCTTTGAAGGCTTGAATATTCTCGCTAACCCTTATTTTCAAGTTATTTATCCTCTCATACAACTTGTACCTTAATGTCACTCGTTCTCTGTCCACCTGTTCTTTGTGTACTGCTGTAAAGTGCGGTAGCTTGAGCCGATGCCCTTGTGCGCGAGGTTCTAAGACAACTTTGTCTGTCTGTCTGTCGAGCTGTTTTTCACCGTGTTCTGCATATTGTCCTAATCATCTCTTCTGCTACTGAACCACAGCAGTATACTCTTCCGATAAATCCTCGGTAACCTTGGTCCTTCTTCTTACAGTTTCTTTGATCATTTCAAATCGGTGTCTGGTGTTACCTGTCCCTACTACCTTTTACATCTCTTTTTGCTTCTTTATCCGCCACAGCTGGAGGTCGTTGCGTAGAATTTTTATCAGCTTACACTTTAGTTGCAATTGCTTTTCACTCTGTTGGGAGTCTTTAAGAAGGTTTCACGTGGATCCATTGTTTGTCAAGAAACTGCAGATACCTACTGACTTTCTGTAACCTCTTTTTGAGAGTCATTTACGGTTTTTGACATAGATTTTGCAACAGAGTTGAGATAATGCCAGATCTTTTCAGGATGAGTGACATCCTGTTGTGATAACTACCTAACCAGTTTCTCGCTGTAGGTAGCCTTAGTGTTTATATCATCGAGCTGGGATCAGAATGGTCTGGTTGCTGAGGCTTATCCACGCTCATTTAGGTATAGACACATGTGTTCACGAACCGACTAGTAGTGACTGGCTAAAAGTCGGAAATCTTCAAAAGTGAGCTTTTTATATATAGAGGAATACAATCATGTAGCTCAGAGTGCGGAACAGTTTATATCACGACTCAATGTTTTCATGGATCCATAATAACTTTTAATGTGGCCTTGTTCAGAATTCTTTCGAACTTCTTCCAACTAGAATCATACATCATGACAGAGAGTCCTAGCCGTCTATTTTTATTCGTATTAACAGTTTCATAATCAAATAAATTTGCTTATCTGAAACTCAAGGATTCAGGAACTCAGTGGCTTGATCTCAAAATAGTTATGTAGAAATATCTGTAATCTTCAAATAGCCCTTCTTCAAGCAATAGACCTCTTTTGTAACATAAAGTCTTCTATCATCTCGGTGCTTTGGGTAGTTTACACTAGTGAGTGTTAAGCAAAAATTTCTGAGTCTACTGAAAGTTAGTCGGCAACTGTGTTATCAGTACTGATGTGACTCAAAAAGTAAGTGAAGTATCTTGCATAGTGCAACAACTAATCCCAGAGAATCACCCTATATTAAACAGGTTAGAAGATGGTACGAACGATTCTCAGACCTTCTCCAAGAGTGTTCATTTGGGAGTGAATCGTATCACCATCTTTTACTAAGATAGCAGTCGTTAGTAGAATGATTTTTATGTGTGAGGAAGTTGACTGCCTTTGTAAGAAAATCTGTCCACAAATAAATTCGAAACCTTTTCCGGTTGAATTGTGAGGTCCCGGTGATGGTCACTTCTCAATTCTACACCATTTTTATCAGGATAATACAGCTTCCAAAAACGATGGATGTTGGGAAAATGTGATCTTAAAAGGCTCAAATATGTATTTTGTAGATGGGGAAAGACGCAAATAATGCATAGCTACAAGAGATATTTACGATACTAGTTGAATTGTAAATTGAGTCTATTTTCCCAAGCCATGAAGCTGGTTGTTTCTGAATAACCGAAGAAAGATTAGACGAAAAATGTGGCTTGGTTTTGCAATCGGAAACTGGAGCTCTGACTCCACAAGGTTCTCATTCTTATTTACTGGCTAGATATCAAATATAAAACTCCAGACCGGCGTTGTTACGAATGCCTTGGAAGAAGTCGAGCCCCTAGTCTCATTTAATCATTATAAGGGTATATTTTAATACAGTCCAGTCGCTTTTAGAAAATCAAAACAAAATTTTCTGAATGTTTCGCTATGTAACGTGCAACTTCCTCAACAAAATACTGAGGTATCTTTTTCCCTTTCTCCTGGAGAAGCTATGGCTCACACAGTAAAACGTCCAGATAATTCTTGTTTTGATTTTCTAAGCACGCTGGGGTTATATTAAAATATACTATTATGATAGATATCCAGTCTTTTGAAGCCTCCACGCAAGTGAAGGAGAACTATGAAATTCAGTGAAAATAGCATTTTATTTGTATTATAGAAATCCGCATAGTGATCAAAATACATGAGAAAAGCTATGAGTGGTTACTTTATAAATCTGTTATTTCGATCGGCTCATGAAAGGCTAGGAAGTGATTTAATAAGGATTCATAAAAAGTTGAGGTTGAATCTCTTTCTTGCCAAATATTGCGGATAGAATTATGTAGTAGTATAAAAAAGGCGAAAGAAAATTTTTCCTAGATGATATACAGTAGATGGGAAGATTTCAAACTACCTCCCAGCCCACCAACCATGGAAAAAGAAAGCAATTTATTACTTGAACAGATCCGACAATCAAGGTGAGCAACAAATAGCTCAGTAGAAAAGAAAACTTTAAACTCACGCTGCATTACTGACTCCAATGATGGATGGAGTATATTCTAACCGGTAGACCGATGAACTTTTTCCAGAATTATCATCGAAGTGTAAAGAATGTATTTTAGCACCACTTAGGCATTTATCATCTATGGTTACATCAAATTCAATTGTTTGACTGTTTGTGAACCATTCTAATTGTAATGTAAACGGTAATTCAATAGTTTTGCAACTTAGACATGGGCAAACAACTTCAACTTGTTTTATTGGTGGACCTATTAAGAAAAATGTCATATTAGTCAAAAGGATAAAATAAGAGTGGCGGAGAATCATTCTACATAAAATTAAGTCTTTGATGTAACATACGGTGATAATGCATCACTTACTGGATGGGATTTTAAGCAAAATTTATTGCTCAAACTTCATTTTTATAGCCCAGTAGCTATACCTTCACACATATTCAGTAGCAGTATGATTGTCGAGAAGTTCACAATTTCATTCATTTTGTAAGTTGAATTAATTGTTCTGACCTCTGTACTTTTGATAAACATTTCTTGTTGAAGTTGTTGGTTGGTCATTGAATCTGGACACCATGTAAAGAAATATGGTTTTCGTTTAATGACATAGTTGAGTGCTGCAATGAGTCTCAGCGTGTGCGAGTAGTGCTTGTACGCAACTCTTTTAAGCGACACTTGGTCGTTATTGTTTTAGTTCTAGGTTGATCAGTTTGTGCCACCTCCCTGAACAGTTGAGTGTGCAAAGATTTGGAAACTGTCATCCGATCACTTATTTTATCAGGTATCAGTGTCACACACAAACCAATAAATCTTTGAAGAATTTCTTATGCATGCTGAAATATCAACTGACCAAAGAATATAATCTACAAAATCAAAAGCAATTCCAACATCATTCTGTTGGTCAATCCATTCGTCAAATTGCCCAAAAGGTCTGTGAGCATCAACTGGCAGTCAAATGACAACAAATCTTCATTGTTAATTATGCATATAGATGGGCACGATAATTAATTTGACTGGAAATACTACACTACTCAAGCTGAAAAACTATAAAAAAGTTCCGAGAAATGTGGTAATACGAACAAATAGGAATAACCAGGCACGTGGAAATTGATTCGGCATAAGAACTATTAAGAATGGATTAGTCAACTAGAATTCAGCCAGGTAAATCAATAAGCAGGTATTGCCACTTAAAAGTGTTTTACATTTTATGAAGTGTTGATGCCTGTCGATGCTTCATTTAAAAAAAAAATTTAATCCTCGGAGGATACAAAACAATTAGCATTTGTCGTCATAAGCTGGTAAGCTTACAGCAGGTTTCTAGGTCAACTAGTATAGTATAGATCTTCGTGACTAACAGAGGAATCCAGGACGCGCGTTTCCTTCTATTTGGAGCTCGTCAGCTGGACACACCTGCACCTCAGCGAGTGATGTTGTTCCTGCTGAGGCTTGAACCCACTACCTTTCGTTTCAAACAGCAGCCAGTGGGGCACGATAGCCAGTTCTTGTAATATCAATGCTAAAATTTGATCTTTAAACAGAGATTGTTTCTACTGGGGAAGGAAAATCAGTGCTGATATCAAATCTAAAATCAAAGTCTACACGCTTCATATCAATAAGAAAATTAAATTCCAAAACGAATTAATGTACAGAATATAACTGACTTGCTTGTTATAAATAATCTGGTCTAAATACCTGGTTTTATGTTGATTTCTATTTCATACCAAATTCGATAGGCTGGATTCAACTTTCTTCGATATCATCTAATTTATTTGATGCTCCATTGAAATGGTTCATTATGCTTTGGATGACAGCTGTCCATCATTTCCATCTTCATCATCACTATCTGAACTGGTAAAAGTAGAAGGATATTAGGAAAGTACAAACTTTATGTTTCCGTTTGAATTCTCTTTACTTTTTCTCTTTGTTCATTAACAAAGGTGAAGTGATTAGCCTTCTTGGCATACCGGCTTATTCTTGAAATAGAATTATGAGATGAAATGGTAATCAACTCAGTCTCATAATTCAACATTTCATGAGAACAAAAGTTGTAGTATCAGCTTATGTATGTTTATTAAGATGTGTCTGTCTGGTAGAAAATGTTAGTGTCTGAAGTAATGTGTATTGAGTTTGAGTCTCAGTGGTAACACAAACACAGTAAACTCAAGTACATCCAACTGCTGAACCCTAATTAGAAGGGAATGCAAGTTTGAAATTCTGCCGCTAGCTATTAACAAATATATGGTAATATAGGTGTAAAACCTGGGCACTGTGGTAGAAGTTAATTCCATATTAGATTTGTTTATTTGATTTATAACATACAGTGATCTAGTATCATTTACTCGATGACGTCTCGAGCATAAATTAATGCTCATAATCATATCAATGCAATCACACTCCTTTCGAAAGAGTAGTAAATAATCGTTTCGTCCAAGAATACAACTCCTCAGTAATATACAACCATGATCACAAGCAAGATCGAACCATTTACCACTAGGTGTTGTGGTGAACGTGTTATAATTCAGTCATTGGGTTGGAATTCCATACTAGATTTGTTTATTCGATTTATAACACAGTGATATAGTATTATTTACTTGATGACGTCTCGAGTACTAATTATTGCTCATAATCATATCGAGGATCCGATGGAACCAATTAAGCATTGACTTTGAGGTCAAATGCATAGGTCAAACTAGCCGGCCGGGATCAGTTAGACTACTAGAACATAGGAATTCAGCTAAATATAGAATGACAGAACCGAATAAGATCAATAATCTAGAACAACACTTACCTGTTACAGTGCATGCATTAACATACAACTACACAATAGTGTGGGATAAAACCACTGTACTTAAGTCCAATATAATTAGGTGGAGAGAGAGAGAGAGAGAGAGATGAACTACGGAATCTTTGTTCATCGAATCTACAAGCAACAGATGTAATAGAAATGACGCAACATCCATACCAGAGATATGGAAAACTTTACTACTAATAAGAGCAAAGAATATCATGTGACAGGAATATAAAAATCAGATATCGAAAGGAATGTGATTACACTGATATGATTATGAGCAAATAATTTGTGCTCGAGACGTCATCAAGTAAAACAAAATACTATATCACTGTGTGTTATACATCAAATAAACAAATCTAATATGGAAAATATCTTCTGTTTGTGTACATTTCTTTTAAAAGCTTTGATGACACATATTTCATCCATTAGGGGAGATGCAGTTTACTGAATACTTTTTCCATTTATGGCATTAGGGTAAAAACTTTCGTTTTGGCGAACGGATATCATCCACTTGTGACGATACTACTCCACATTAACGTTAAAAAACCATATAGTTATCATCCTCTTTTGGTATTCAGCTCCTTAAAGCTTAATAGAAACATTCATATTTGTCGCGAATTGACAGAATTTAATTCACTTATGGAATAGTGTCAGCTCGGTAACCTTAACCCTTAGCCAATAAATCAACGAGTCGTATTTTAGTTCGACTACTTTGTTTGAGCTACCTAATGACACATATATATTGAAACTTACTTATTATTTCGAGCGTTTGCAACAAAAACCAAAACACCTCGATAACATCCTCGTTTTGAAGCGGAAACCTGGAATTTACAATCATCAGTACGACCAGACATAACTTCAATACAATTCACCATAGGCTTCTGACTATTTGGTATCCATTCAATTAAACCTTTAGGTAGATTTGTTTGTAGTTGAAAACTTTGTTTAATTGATGTAGAATTTGGTATTTTTACGCTGAATGTTTGTAAATGAGTTTGTTTTGAAATCTTACAGATTCCTTCTCTTACTTCACAAGCACTGATTGTAAATTCAAGACTAATTTTGCCCAGTGACATTGGCTTCAGAACAGTTCCGTTTAAGTGATATTGTAACTGACTACCATCAGTCATATTTCGAAGGATAAGTTTCGTCTGTTGAGAAAAGACAAACATAATCAATTAAAGATCTGCAGTCGAATAACCTAAGCTAGTTTTATTTACCTGTCTGTAATCGTCAAATACAAGTGTGGATACTCTACATTCATCGTGAAACCTAGAAATTGATTGGTTCAATAGTGGGCTCCCTTCAAGACACAGTACTCTCTATAAAAAATATGCAGAAAACAACAGCCATTCACGATGTTTCAGAAAAGAAAGTTTATCGGAGTAACAGTAACAGTTAAAAGTTGAAGACCAATGGAAGTAAGTAAATATCCTCACCCAAAGTACTTATCTAGGCAGAATACAATTTTTTAAAAACAACTTGTTCCATAAAAAATTCCAACATAGAACCTTACATGGGAATACGTCAGTCCAAGTTTTCATTCATCATGACAACACAAAAAGGGAGGGAATAGGAAAGAAATGATGTTTAAGTGGACGAAAAAATAGGAGATGAAGGAGAATAAACAAATTAGGGTTAATAAAAATGTTCAGTATTTCGAAAATTATTAAGAGGGCATACACCTGAACCATTTTGACCGGATTTGTGCTAAATCCGCTTATGTCTATAATCAACAAACAGTTTAAATAATATAAATAAGTCCAGATAACGTAATTAGAAGACGTAGATTATCTGAAAAATGTGGTATATTTGCGCTGTTCATTTTTAGATAATCCAAATTCATAAAAGGGACTACTGGTTTCAAATAAATAAGTTCACCCGTGTATGTCAATGCAAAACAGAGAGACAATAAATGACGAGATGAACTAAGAGTAGAACAAGACAAACACTCATTGAGAACATAAATGCGAGTTAAGTGAAGGCCAGACGTTGACAGAAGTTCATTGTATCAACAATCTACTAGGGCTTGATTTTGAAGTTTCTAATTGGGCTGGCAACTATATTCAACAGTGATATGATTGCTTGGTTCTAATCTCAGTGGGAACACCACTGTTTACTCAAATGCGTCCACGGCCATCTGATGAGTCTTAGACAGGAAGAAATATGCATCCTGGATTCTACAGCAAGCAAATGAAATCAGTTTGAGCGTTACTGATTTATATTCAGTCTGGGCATAGGTTTCTTTTCAACTCCAGTCAACATATTTTGCAATACAAAAAGGGGAGAAACACTAAGCGATGCTCGAAATGAACATATTTGGAAATTCTGGTTTCCCTTTAATTAAGATTCATTTAGTCGGAATGAAAGTTTCTGAAGGAGAATTACGGATTGATATCGACATTTCAGAAACCTAAGTGAGTGAATCATGCACTAAGGTAATCCTGTCAATGTTTATATTTCTGACAATTTAACATAAACACAAACTCATGTAATCATAAGAGTACACTATGAGCGGCCATCTCTTGTACAACAAAAAGGAGTGACTTTAAAGACCACACTAGCAGCTGTTGAAACAATTTTGGCCAGGAAGCCAGTTTTTCATGGAATAGAGAGAAGTAATTGCTTGTTTCAGCATTTGGTAGGGTGTTCTATAAAGCCACTCTAAAAACCAGACTTAAGCATTCTTCGCAACTCATCCAAAAACTCCTGAAAACAACCATTCTGTTTATGCAAGTCAGTTAAAAAAAGTTATTCTTCCTTTGCTTCATGTGAAAAGAAAAGTTCACCTTCCCTTGTTTACAGACGGTTTGCATCACTGGCGGTAAGGCGAAAAACACCGATTGAACGATCATGAAAGTAGCCAATTTTGTTAAAAAAGCAATATAGTATGTGTAGTGGTTTTCTTTCGTATATCATCGGAAATATAACGGTTCTGTGAGGCTTTGATGCAGAATACCGCTGTAAAAAATATCACGTAACATGGAATAGGAAGACTAAAGAGATATATTCTCAGTTCATAATGTTATTTAGTAGTCATAACTCTTAATTTCTTTTACTTTGCAGCTCACTTTGACATTGAAATGTAAACAAACACACCTTTCAAATCAGATGATCGATAGAAATGCTGATACTGACTGTTTATAGGTTTACCAGAAGAGTTAGGTTATGGACAACGAGTCATAAAATGGACAACAAACGTGTTCCACTAAATGATATCATTGGTTCATACTAATCGCAAACAGATAATCAAATTTATGGTTGTCAGAAGAGTAAATGAGGACATTTTCAGGGAAATTACCGACTTAATGCCTTCGTACAGTCATCATTTGGGTTATCTCTTGTTCAGCAGAGGAGCATCGACTATAGAGTCATCGAAAATGACCAGTGCACAAATCTTTAAGAAATCTTACTTATTAGGGCTAACCTGTCGTTACAAATGTTTTAGTTAAGTTGAGGTAAATTAAATAAACTAATAAAAATTTGAGGACTTACATGACTTTCCGCTTCTCTTCTGGGTAAATAGGTTATAGGATATTGAACAGTTGTATTTGACGGTATATTTACAACGGACGGCCCAGTAAACCATATTGGGTAACCCACAAACTTCGAAACTAACTCCCAATCATAGGCTGTTTTATTCACAATTGGCAAAGGTTGGGTAATAGGATGATTTAGTGGCGAAGTAAATGTTAAAACGATCTTCTCGTTTCCAGGCAAAACTACGCATTCAATACGATAAAGTCGTATATCATCTGGACCTTGTAGTACCAGTTTAGCCGAAGTTACGCCTGGTTTATCAGCCACAATTTTTAGAGGAAGTGGAAATGTAGAATCGGAATCTGCAGTTTTTAAGAGAAATATTAAAATTTCAGTGATTGTTTAATGAATGCAACTCCCCTAACAGTTGGAGATCTACTGAAAACGGGGAAGTACTGGATTACTGATGTCAGTTCATAGTGGAAACTATCTCGAGAGCAATAAAAATGCTTACTCTACTGGATGCTTGAAACTTGCCGAATCGAGTACATAAATACTGCTGCGTTCCTGTATATCGAAAGTGCCTATCATCAGGGACCTAATCTAATAATAATAATAATAATTAACTTTATTCCAAACTGTAGCATCTCGGAAACCTTTCGAAAACACTTCAGATATAGTACTAAGGTGCAACCACTATATAATGTTAGGATCAGTTAATGAGCTTAGTTACACTTGATTGACTTCTCATAACCACATTAACATAAAAGCTATGCAAAACAAATTGTCAAACTGTAAGGAAAGACCACTAGTTGAGGTTTTTCTTATTCTGTTGAGTCTTAATACACTTAACAGAAAGGAAGGTCTTAGTATTCAACAAACGTTGCATTTTCGAAATTAACTGTTGTGTATAATAACCATAGATTACATATAAACACATGAACAAACAGAACGGTTTTGCTTTTTTTTGCACTCATTTACACCCGTTCACGTATGAGCACACATTCACATCTTCACTTTAAACTAAGTGATCAATAATTAATAAACGTAACATTTACTCACGTTATACTGTTTTCGGGAACAAGTGAATGAACATTCTAACCTAATTTGTTCTGCTTACCCTTCAAACGTGCAGTATTATTGTTATTTTCTGAAGGACTGGTTTCTAGGAGGTGGTGAAACGTCATGGGGATTTCACGGATATGATTCGTTATAAATCAAATAGTCAACGCTTAGTGTATGTAACTATATCAATTGAATAATTGGTAGTGATGTTTACGAAGACCTCGCTTTACTGACAACTAAAAGTCAGACAGACAAAATCAACGTAGAACCTAGCACATAAGTGATAGGTTCAGGTTAGCACAACTGAAACCAGTGTACGGAGAACATGCTGATAATGATAGAATAATATCGAAGAAGACGAAGTTGTGTCAGAAAATAAACAACTTGAAGATAAAGGTTAATGCAAATATTCAAGATTAACAAGATGTCAAAAAAGGAATAAATATGCATCTTTGTAACGAATTTTTAGCCATGTCATTAAGAGTTCTCAACCACTGATTCATGTCGCCATGGAGACCAACTCCAGGCAGTCTACACCTCCCCATACGGGTCAAACCAGCAGTCAGGGACCACATTGACTGGTGTCACCTGTTGGTCTGATCACCCTGAAATATCTTCCAAACTAATCTAACTTGCTCTAGCATGGCATGTTGAGGCAAGCAGTGACTGTCCATGCGTTACACATGTGCAAGCCGTTTCAGTCTATGAAGGTTCACAACAACACCAATCGACTTGCATATATTGTGTAGTCTCCATTGCCTGACCTCAACACTTCTAAAACAATGATTCCACTAAATATGAGAGATGCTGCAAAGATGCCTGTGGTCGAAAACCTGTAATTACTTCATGACTTCCACTCTTAAGGACCATATCTCACTATTGTACTACAGGACGGAATGGCCTACATCACAGTATACTCGTTCTCTGACAGAGAGTCGGATATCTCGTATATAATGAAGTTAAATAGAAATGGCGACAGTGAATAACTTTGTCGGAAAACACCATTTGTCGCCAATCCGGATGACAACGCTTTATAAGCTCTTACACGGCTGCGTAAGTTCGAGTAGAGTTTGATAGGTATTCTCTGACTTTCTAAAAAACTCCTTTCACAGTCAGACACTGCCACGACACCTCAAGGTTGATAGAGTATAATTCCACCTTCAGGTAGAGAAACATGGGAGATATCTACTCCCAGTATGTATGTTTCCACCCTAGAAGCCTTCGCAGGGCAAAAATAAGATCAATGCGCCCTCTTCCAGGTATGAAACCCACCTGAATTTCTCGAGTTTGCTACTCTCGAGCTCCAATCGGGTGTCGCATAACTATGAACCCTAAGATCTCGGACACGAAATTTGTCAAACCAATTCCTCTGTGGTCGTCACAAGAAGACTCCTCTTCCTTCCTATAGACTGGGATGATCAGTAAAGTAGACCAGTCTGACGGCACCAGCTCTGATTCCTCTTCACTACGCAGCACCTGTGTCACTCTAGTCAGCAATTTCCTACCTCCATCCTTGTCAGGTCCTGATGCTTTGCATCGTTCCAGGTTCGATACAGCTTTCTCGACTTCAAGGAGAGTTGGGGGACCGACATCTGCATCCCATTCAGGTTTAGGCTAGATCTTCGGCAACTGAAGCGTTGTTGCGTGTCAGTTGAACTGTGCTTCAAAGTGTTCTGACCAATGTTCTATTCGCCTGTCCCGTGAAGTTATCAGCGTATCACGCATTTCGGTGGTGGCTTCGCTGACCATTGTTTTCTTCTTGCCGATATTTTTAGGCGGCCTAAATACTTGTCGAGTGTCACCCAAAGTTGATGGCTTCCCCATCTCGCTCGCTGCTCGTGGCGATTGCAAAGACACCTGGTCACTTTAGCTTTGAAGTTGCTTCCGCTCTTCATCGTGGTCAGAGTTAGCTGGAATCAGTTTTCTAGCACTGGCCAGTTAGCTCGACGTTGTGGAGACCTGATGAGACTAGCTAAGCTTCGGCTGTAGGTTGCGAACTGTCATCACCAGTGTTTCTACAGCAGGTTTCTTCAGGATGAGCATTGGTGTTGTGTTCAGATAAATGCCGAGCTAACTCCTCTTCAAGTGTGTACTCGATGTTTTCATTTCCCGACAGAGCATAGACAGGCTTTATTATCATCTGTTTTCTGCTACCAGTAAGGAGCAAACACACACGAGTCTGGACAAGCTTGTGATCGGAGTCCAAACGGGTACTACACAAAGAGCATCAATTCCCCACTGATTTTCTTCAATGATGGCTGATGTCCATGTAATCTATCTGTGTCTATTGTTGGTTCGATGTCAGTGGACACTATATGAGACATTGTCTGTCCTTATGCGCGAAGTCATTGTTGGTCAGGAACAAGGGAGTGTCGTAACCGAATTGCAACGTATGTTTGCTTTCCCATTCGGCATGTTGTTCGGACGTTGAAAGCTTCAACATGAAATCGATGGCTAGATCTGAGGGGTGTGGTTATGAGGTTTCAATGGCCCTAACTTTTGATAGTAATCACAGAGTGAGAGTTTGGGGGAGATGTAAGAGGTCTAATAATGCTATGACGACTTGAGGACAAAGAAGAGTCAAGGTTGTGAAGGATTGTGTGCTACTGGCAGCATGCGGGCGGCAGCTGCAGCAGCTGCCCACATCGTGGAAGGTTATCCCCCCTGAAGCACATGAAAGAGGAGATTTTCACGACCGCGGGTCCTATAGAACATCCGCTTGAGGCCTATCTTTTGCTGATTGTTGTTTTAGGATTTAGTCATTTTAATGCAAGATAGAGAAAACCCAATCTATCGACATCAGAAAACCGTAGGGCAAGGACTTGTGGGCTGTTTTGAGGGATAATCTCTTCTAATCACTCCTTTCCATGGTGAAGGGAGAATCAGTGCGGCATTGCAGGTCATTTAAAAGAAGTATCTTGCTGAAGGCACATTCCGTCCAGGAAGCATTAGGACTGCCATTATTGTATGGTAATGTACATTGTAACGGTAACTTCTTTTTATCTTGCCACTATCCTGCAGACCTTTCTGGTATAGCAGGACCGCAAGAAAACAAATATTCCAGCCAGTGTACCTTGCTGGGTCATTGCGACATACAAGCCCTACCGCCACATCAAAGTAACAGCTATCGTTCGAGGACAGGTAAAAGTAGCAAACCTCCCACTGAAAACACCTCTATGCAATCTGATAATAATGATGGGTAGTGGCTAACAGTGGAATCAGGGTGACTGTTTCTTTTTATTTTGGAGTTGTCAGCGGGATACGCCTGGCTCTCAGTGAGTGAAGTTTTCCCCTACCAGGTTTGGAAACCAGCACCCATCGTTTCAAATGAGAGAGAGTTTGTTATCCACTAGCTTACAGAGCCACTAGAGACACATCTTGTACATCTTTATGTACTCCTAGTTATATGAAAATCTTTCTAGTATTTGGCGGAAAAATTGTTTACCAAACACATTTATTAAGTTTGAGTGGAGGTGTAAAGATTTCAAATTATAACCAGTGGTTTAAATGTCATAAAATTAAAAGATGTAATGGTACTCGTAACTTAAAAATATGAGACTCAAAGTATTATAAATTAATAGTTTAGTTATCGAAATAGGTATTAATTCTTTTTCGACTAGAAAAACTCATTGAATGAGTTCTAAATTAGAGATATTGCTTATCAATGCTATTTCTATGTTAGAATTATTGATTTGCTTACCTGAATCTGTTTGAAGTGGCACTTGTATCTTTGATGGGACTTGTATCATGTTGGAATCAATTTCGACAGTATACAGTAAATGACGCGACATATGCAGTCTTTTCTAAGGAAACAAGGTAAGTGAAAAAGTAACATAGTGTAAGTACAGCGTGAATTAAATCACATGCTTCTGCTTACGGAATAATGAACAAATTATGCAACGAATTTACACACACACTATTCAGTATTGTTATTCATCAACTCCGAAGTCTGCTAGGCGTACACTGACTCTCCGCAGTAATATCATGAATGTTTTCAAAAAGAGATTTACTACTCAGTAGCTCGGATTTCTCATTCCTATATTTACATTACTACTTGGATGCGGCACACACTATCACTCCATGAGATCTCAGAGCAGTACAACGTTCGAGATGTCTTCAGAGTGGACAGGATTATGTTTCATAACAGTTGTTTAGACAGATTCTGCTTCAAACGACTGGCCATCATCCTCCAGCTGAGCGATCATCATTGTTCATATGAAACACAAGCTATCCAGCTTTTTCCTATATTTGTGTGGTAATCAATCTGGCTGCTCTTATGGCGAAATTTGTATCGGGTATATTACTTCGTTAGTTAAGGAAAACGTCACAAGCGTTATCACCCACTAAACATTTCCCACCATGTTTCTCACTTTTCACTTTTTCCATATAACTAACATATTTGTTTACACTTCGAGTATCCACTTTTAGTATCCTTTAGTATCATTTAACTTTATTCTTCTGAGTTTTGACGTTCTTTTATTATCTAAGTATCTGCAGTACTATACCGTTGTCAGTATTCTTATCATTGTACTTATGGACATTATTATTATTATTATCTTGGTTGATGCTGATTGCATAATTCACTATCCTATGACCGCTGGCTCAAAACGTCATCATGATTTGTTTTATATATCAGTCAGTATGGTGGATTAAAACTTAAGAAAACCTGACCAAAAACAGTTTTGTTCTTTTATATATTTTAGTCTGTTATTTCCTTTTACTTTGCAATTTTGTGAAAGATTAACAAAGGAATGCAAGACGTACGTTTCCTCCTATTTGATGCTGGTCAGCTGGATGTATCTGCACCTCAGTGAGAGTTGTTACTACCAGTGAGACTCGAACCCAGTACTCATCGCTCCAAACCCCACAGCGTTATCCACTGAGCCACTAGGACACAATAGACACTTCTTATGCAACGGGTATCAGTTAGTGTTATTAATACTTGTAATTTCCCGTTGCTTTAAAGGGCTGGCAGTATCGAGGCAACCGCATAGAAGCCCATCTGTCAACAATATGTGTCAAGCTATTCGGCCCTGTATAGCAACGAAAAATTACAAGTACCATAATAACAATCCTTTTGTTTTGCAAGAGGCTAGTGTGAAACTAATACAATGCAGCGGTGCAGATGCTTCTGCTCAAATTACTAGTGTTGTGCTATGCAATTTCAAATATGATTAGTTGGAAAATTTACTCATCTCATCAACTAAGACGCAAACAACCCTCTGTTGCATAAAATCTAATATCGAACATGTCGTAAGAAAATATTGAAATACCACTGTTTTTTTCAAAAATTAGCTAACGAAATATTTTGAATGCTATGTACATTTCAATGCATGATATTCTTTCTTATTGAAGCTACATTCAAAATGAAAATCATGACAAAGAACACACTGAAGTATTTTAAAATCCAAAATAATTTTCACTCAAGCTTACAAGGCAGATGCACCAAAGAATTAAAATTGCTATTTAGTTAAACTATCATTTTAAGCCTGAAAAACAGTAATTTATTTCCTAAACTCTGAGATGCAGTACCATAGATTTTATTCTTATATAAATACAGAAAATATGTCCTAACACCTTTCTCCATTCTGAAATATAAGTTTTTAAGTGCAGTATAGTCTACAATATAAATCTGGTGTAAATAAAACGTCTTTTCTTAAATTTGATCCAATGCCAATGTCAAATCCACTTTGAAGTTTTCAATTACCTGAAGTAATTAGGAAGATGTGAAGGGATCATTGGTTGGAATGAATACCAAGATTGATAATGGTAGTACATTCATGCACTAAATCTTAAGTCTCTAGTTTATTATGTTGACTTTACTAGTTACCTTTGAAACAGGAATCAACAAACTTTACAGGAATAACTGGTAGCTTTCTACAATACTCTAAAATTGGAATATAGTCTACCAAGAGTTTAAATGTCGCTGCTAGCAAATGTTAAGCCATCATATCGAAAATGTAATATACTTTTCCTAATATCATACATTCGCATTATCAGCGATGGGTGGTCAAACTGCTAACATTAGTCTATAATCCAAGTTCGTCACTGACAAAGTTTGTAAAAGCTTCTGAAATATTGTTTCAGAGTTACTGGATGAGTGATGACAGTTGAATTTCTTTCGCTTGCATGCATATCTAAAATTTGGACAGAGATATCGTTTTTTTATTTAAAATACTAAAAAACATTGCATGTAAGCATTTGTGTTTGTTTTCATAGTACACAATGAATTTTGAGTGTTTATCGACAATGTCACAGAGCTTTGACTGATAGAACACACAAATCACTTTATAAACAGGAAAACTAGGCAAATCAGTTACTGTTGCCTGGTGATATTGAATAACGACAGTGATTACTGCGGAAACTTGAGCGGTGTAATATCTACCTTAACCGAAACTAAATCAGTTTGTAAACCCTTTGGAAATTTGTTTCTCAAAAGTGTACAGTAGTATTCGCTGCTAAATATGTTGACATAAATAATTGCTTAGGTCGCACCTAAATGTCTTCATGTGAATATGTTTTCAGCAGACTTAATTGTTTACCTGTGGTTTTGTTCTTTTTCCAGATGCACTTTCTTCATAGTTGGGTAGTATCAACTCCTTGTTAGCAAGTTCAAGTAATTCATCTGACTCCAGTGTATTCGCTATTTGACGACGTCTGACTTCAGACGGTGGCAGTCGTATGCGTATAGCGTTTAACAAAGCCGTTCGACGTAATTCATTCTTTACTGGTAACAATAAGGTCTCTTGTACTTCACATCCTAGGGGACATCGTAGGTATATAACATTTGGATCACCTGAACGGCCAAAAGCTTGAAATAAAAATGCACTGTTCATAAATAAATAGTTCCAGATGATTTTATGATTAACGATATATGAGTGGATTATGATATTGTGATGGGTGCAAGGTGGAATGTCATATGATTCCTTGCTAACCAATTACAAAAATATAAATACCGGTATAACAAGGCATGGTTTGAAACTAGAATACCCTAACGGAATATTCAGACACAATTAGAAAGATGGGAAAGCAGTAAAAACAAAATTTGTTAGTAAACATTAGAAGTCAGATGAACAGTAGATGTGTCTGTATATCACTACTGATTCTGAAACGTCTGATTTAAAGTATTCCACTGATATTTCATCTTTTGGCCAGATCACCTTTCACCATGTTGCCTAATCCTATTCAATCACACTTTTTTGTCTGACTGTTTTTATCTCTTTCACCCTCCTTTCTGATATTTTGATATTTAATAAAAATCTGAATATTCTATTGAAGAAGCTGTGGCATACACAGCGGAACTTTAGGGGAAACTTTGTTTGGATTTTCTAAAAACGCTGGGATTATGTTAAAACCTACTTACTTAGTGACTAAACCTGACTTGGCGCTCAACTTCTTTCAGGACATTTGCAATAGCTATGACCTGGATGTTGTTAACACTATATATTACACAATCAGTTTTGTTACCATTCATACTTCAGCTGTTATCATTGTAAGTATATTTATGGTTATCACTATTATTTTTACGATTTTTGTTATCATTAATACTAATTATCATACGTTGATTTTCAAATATTCATCTATCCAAAGTAGTAATATAGTCTTTCTCCTCACTGATGACTCACAGCTCTATTGTACTTTACATGGTCGAACTAAATTTCCCCGCCCTAGTTGTACTCCAACTAACCTAAACAGTTGGAAAAAATCTCTACCCGATTTCTTAATTCACTCACCTATATCATGTCAGTCTCAGTTAGTCTCATAAAAATTGTTTCAGGGAAGAGTTTTTTTCGGTGATTTCATTTTCAAGGCTGTACAATCACAAATTTATACATTTTTCTAGTGTAAGGATTTGATAGTTAAAAAAGGTTTGTCAAGCATGGTAACACAAATAAATGAGTTGTCATTAAAATTTAAAAAAATCAAAAACTGATGAGTAGTGAATATTAATCAAAATAAGTTTGAACAAGAAGTTTGGAGACTGAATTGTGATCAGGCAGAACATAGCAACAAGAGTGAGTAGCAAATTACTTAAGAAGTGAATAGTGTCGAAACAGAAAGATGAAAAGCAAAAAGAGGGGAGTAAAGGAGACTGAGAACTAAGACTATGAAAGGAGAAATAGTTGAACAATCTTTTTTTGTGCACACAGTTCAGGCTTCTCCATTTGGATGGCAAGACCTTCGGCGATGCACAGAATACGAAGACTTACAGCCTTTTGGAGGTTTCGTTTCACTTCATAGATGACTTTGCACGAGGTTTTCGAGACAGGATGATTTATGTTGATAATATGTTCAGTTACAGCACTCCATTGTTGCCTCTTTGTAACCAGGCGGGATAGTGTTCCTGAACCCTTTTGGATAACAGTCGCGTCAAACGACCTATATACCTGGCTCCACAAGAGCAAGTGGGTTGATATATGCACACAGAAGTGGTCAGGTGCGAAAGTTTCTCCTTTGAGTTGTTAGAAATTGATGGGCGACAACAGAATACTAGTCTCAGCGTTGAAGCAAAGAAGGTTCTCGTTAGAGCGTTTGATATCCTCCTTTTTAGAGTGTCAAGGTTTAGGTTTGACGTGTTTGTCTGTGAAGCGTGGTGGGAATCAGTTTTCAATCAGGATGTTCTTTAGGACAGAAACTTCCTCTTCTACCACATCGGGACTGCAGATTCGTCTTACGCGAGTGGTAAGAGATATGATCAGATTTTGCTTACGACTCATAGGGACACAGCTATTACAGTTCGTCAGTTACCATTCCATATTCGATGATAATTTTATTACCTGTGATGATCAATATGATTTGAATCACGTTCTACAAATACTCAATAACTGCCACTCAGCAATTAGATTCACCCTTGAGGTCGAAAATCGATCTAAAATTCACTTTCTTGATATAGAGCTTACAAGAACAGCTAATGGAACATTAAGTAGGTCAGTTCACATAAAACAAATGTGGAATGGTAAACTGACGAACTGTAATAGCTGTGTCCCTATGAGTCGTAAGCAAAATCTGATCATATCTCTTACCACTCGCGTAAGACGAATCTGCAGTCCCGATGTGGTAGAAGAGGAAGTTTCTGTCCTAAAGAACATCCTGATTGAAAACTGATTCCCACCACGCTTCACAGACAAACACGTCAAACCTAAACCTTGCAAAGAGAACCTTAACACCGTGCCAAAAAAGATACTCTATATGAATCTCAACTTCAAAGGTGATTCTGCCGCTGACACTCTAAAAAGGAGGATATAGCAGGATTAAAATGATGAAGAATAACACAAAATATTTTTTGATTTTGTTATCTATTTAGAGGTGAATGGGGATTCAATTTGCAGGTAGTGTTTATCATGGACTGATATAATTTGGAGAAAACCTGGAAGTACTGGACAGCTGTTTCGTCCTAGCGTGTGACTCCACATCAGTAGGCTCCCAGTTAATTTTTATGAACATTTTTATCTGGATTTGACGGTCATTTGATCGTAAAATGTGTTACCAGTTTATCCATAGTAAATGATTAGTTCAGCTCTATACGGATTGGGAGTAGAAGAAAAGCACGGCGAGTGTGAATGAATATTTAGTAATCACTCACTCATTCTCATAACTGCCGAATAAAGTTTCAGTAATTGAAGTAAAACTGAGAATTTATTAGCAGTTGGGTTCCGTAGCTACTGTGTCAGAGAGATGGGCCAGTAATCAAGTGGTCACTGTTTAAAATCTTGCTACTATATGCAACTCCTGTTTCCGTTCGTTTTCAGTCATTATTTCTTTATTTGAGATTTACAATGGATTGTAATCTTGTAACTAAAATATAATTAGTATATGAGTTCTGAGTTATTATTACAAAAATAAAGCTTTTAAATATTCATCTTGGTAAGTTTGGCAATGAATGATCCATTGACCGTATAGACTTTAGTTAGAGTAATAGTACAACATACATTATCACAGTAGGTGTGAAAAGTTATGGAAAGTAGAAGAACATATAGTAATGGTGAAACACATTGAAAAATGTACTGAACAATACCAGTGTTTGTGACTGAATGCTCTCTTGATACAGAAAGTAGGTAACTATGGAAGGAAATGAGAGTAGTGGAAGAATGTGGGGTTTTCGATTACTTTTGCTGTTACTCAAGCAGTGTCATGATGATTTGAGGTGAACATATTTTAGCAAACAGAAACAAAAATATCAATAGTTTTCTTACGACTAGTTAAAAAGCAAACGTGTGACACCGCACATATTGGACCTCAGGATTTCGTCATACACTTTAATGGCTATGTTATCGAACCATCGACGGAATACGATCGAATTTTAGGACCTGACAGTTATATCACTTATCATTGTATCGTCATTTTGCCTACACGTAAGAAAGTCAAAAAATAATTTTTGCTAATCTCAATAAGAAATGATATAACGTTTAGAATACGTAAGATATAGACAACTTGGTGGTCAGATGTGATTTTATTTGTTAGTTAATCAAGCATGCAAAACATGTGAGATTAAGTAATGCTACTAGGATATGAACGATTGGAGTTAAGACTTGGAGTTTACAGATCAAGTATCCAAACTATTGACCGACTGCACAACCCTGACTATTTGGTAAGTGAATGTTATAAATACTGGTAAAATGTGAAAGTTATTTAGAAAAGCAAAAATAAGCACTTACATGCTGCTGCAACTGCAGATCTAATACGATATCCTCTTTCTTTTTGTGTAGGAGACTTCTCAGTGTTTAGATCATTTTGAAAATCAGAAAACGGCAACAGACTCGGCTGTGGTAATTGAGCAATACCTTTTAGAAGCATAACGAATTCACCAATCTTATCATTAGATAGCAATAAGCAACATTCTCTTGTACCCCATCCTAAGGGTAAGTAGACAATGGATACTTCACTTAAATTCCGAATATAACTGTCATATTTCTGTTGCACTTTACTATCTTCACTAGTGGACTGCTTGATGGGGTATAAATTTGTACTGGTGTTGTTAACGTTCCCAGATAATTGAATAGTAAGCTCACGACAGTAAAACGACTGGTATTGAGTTCTTTGATAATATTCTATTTCAGGTAATTTAAAGAAAGTTTAATAATTTCTTAACGGTATGCATATTTTATTGAGGGGAAAAGCTTTGGAATTTGATTAGTGAATACAAACTTCATTACGAAATTTGATAATGACGATCATTGAAAGGTAACTACTTGAGACTAGTCAGCTGGGTGTGTTTGAATCCGAATTAGTGATGGTGTTCTGACTGATATTCAAATCTAGCACCAATCACTTCGCAAGCCAGATGGTTATTCACTGGACTACTGATTCACGCTAGCAGCCCTTTCCGTTATGAGTAACGTTTGACAATGGGATTTGTCATTTCCCGTTACTACTAGTTTTGGACCGAACTGATTAGTCTCTGTTGACATGTGGTCTCCTGTGGGGATGTCTCAAAACAATTAGTGATTTTACTCTTATATTAAGGACAGATATTGCGAGTATCATCAATTACTTGAATGCAGATATATCAAGGTGACGAGTAACAAATAGAATGAAACGTACATCCCAGATTATACTGTTAGGCACTATCCTTCATTAGTATCAAAGTGAAAACAAGGGTTATATTATGATATACAGATGGGAGCTCATATCCCAACAGAGGGTGCTCAATTTGGTTCAGACCAATCAATAACAAGCAGTCAACAGTCGTTAAGCAGTCATAAAGGATTGCAGAGAATTTCATCTCGTAGAAGTTTGTTGCTTCTATATTCCACGGCAAATGAATGAAAACAATGGCTGAAGTAGAAAATACAAAAGATGACAAAGTGTGAGTCATTGTAGGTGGACCGCAATCATACTACTTCTGTGGTAACGCGAACCTGAGCTCTGATTTTAAAGCACGATTGAAATGCTCTTACAGTTTGACTGGATTAAAAACTAGGTTAGTGTTCTTTAGTCAGCGAAACTTTCTTACCTCTGCCTTTGTACAGCACTGTTTCTAGATATGGTTAAATCACTACTGTATAAGTGATGTTAAGACTGCTTATCTTTTGAACTATTGTCCTCTCTGGTTTTTGACAAAATATCGACAAAATGAAAGTGAGAATACTGTAAGTTGTATAATGTCTAGTGCGCTATAATAGCTTTGTGCTTCAACTTACCAGTGACACCTTAGAACATTACTTATGTCACGAATAACGATGGATGACTGTATTAAACTAGTTGTTTAGTTGATGTTTGAGATACCGTATTTCACCAACATACCAGATAAAGCATGAAAATAGATTTCTCAAAATTTAAGTGGTGAAAATGTTTGAATTTGATCGAAAATTTGGGTTGCAGTAGAGTACGGACTAGTCACTTCTAAATTACTCAGACAACATTCGAATGAATAAACTACGAGAATCAACCAGTAACCAAGTCCTATTGGGACTTAAAATTATCACCCTTGAATCTTGACCCCCTTAAACATTTATAATACATTTTGGAGGGTTGTGGAGATCTGCTGACTGATTTCAGGTTCGTATTCATCACAAACTGAAATCATTTGGATAAACACTGGAAAACTGCGAGCACTGGACAGTTGTTTCATCCTAGTATGAGACTTCTCAGAAGTGCACACCTATGATTCCACTAGGGATCGAACCCAGTGACCTCAGGACGCGCTATATCGTGAACTAATAGATGTAGGAAACATATACCATTGGATTCTGACTCAGTGGCTTAGTGGTAACATGCTGGCCATGGAGTGTTCTGGATTCGATGCGTGCCAGGATCAAGGGTGCTCACTGTTGACGAGTCCTATACTAGAACGAAACAGATGTCCAAAGCTCCAAGGTTTCCAAGGTTTCTCCAAATGATATCAGTTGATGATGGTTATAATAAATGAACTGCATTTAAGACCATTTTAATATTTAAAACAAGCAATGAGAGTTATTCAAGGAGGATATACCGAATTTTATAAATTTCGGTTGGACTCATTAGCTTTTTATTCTACATATATGTCGTTATATAATACTATGCAGTGAAGGAATGAATACACACACAATACAGACTGAGGTATTGAATGAGGCATGGCAATAGTTTAGCTAGGTTAAATGGGTCTGAGAATAGGTTAGTTAGAAGTAAAAGACCAGGAATTGATTACATCATTCTAATCAGAACAGTTAATAGTCGACTAGGTAGCCTGATGGTAGTGCACAACAAAGGAAATATAGGCTTTAGATAAACAAAAATATTTTTATAATGCTAATAGGAATGACTGATAATAATGATAAGTGTGGCCATAAAAATTGAGAATATTGAAAACATAAAATTGTGTCATTTTGAACAGGGCGAAAGAATATCATTTAAGAAGCTTGGTAACAGTGTAAAACTGGGAAAGGTTAGATTATTAGATGATCAATAGCAGTGATAATAATAATAATAATGGCAGTGAAGACAAAGCATTTGTCCATCATGCGAAGATGCTCAAGAGGAAATAACAGTGCGACAGAATAAGGACAATTAAGAGAGAGAGAGAAAGGAAATAAAATAAAACGGTAAAACAAAACATTACAAAAAAAGGAATACCTCCACAGTACATCGAAGCCTCTACAATGGTAGACTCAGGGTGACTACCATCTCTTTCTGCACGCGTAGGCTTGGTTTATAAACTTTAATCACACATGCTTCTACGATTGCAAGCATTTTGTTATTCTACTATCTGCTCACAACCATGAAGGCCTAAGTAGCGTTAATGTTGTACCACTAATCCTTCGGATGCTTCGTAATAGAGCTTCATGGGATTTTTGTTTCCCCTCGCCTTAACCATTCAGGTAAATTCTCAGTCTTGCGAGTAGACAAACACCTTTTTGTACGATCTATATATTTGCTTCCGAAAGTACATTCAAAGTGGTATATGTAGTTTGTAGTGCCAAGAGTTGGAGTTATATATTTTCCTAATTGTTGCATTCCCCTACTGAAATTTATGAATTCAATAAATCTTGCCGTAACGAAGTCTGTTGTTTGTTTTAAATTTGTATGGGGAAAAAATGTTTTCAATTTAATATTTGTCTCCAGTTTCCTACATTCAGTTATATTAAATTAAATTCAGAGTAAAACTATACTTACTTTAGGGTAATTACAAAGACAGAAACTAACCTTTCAAGATTTCTGGAGGTAGCTGACTATTTTCTGATGATTGGTCAAATGAACTTCGTTCTGTAACAGAATATGTTTCACTGGCCAAAATATTTTCAGAATGTGATTCTTTTGTGATTGTATTTAAGCCCTGAACTTGGCATAGTGAGTTAAATAAATCACTACGACTCTCGATCACTGTTATCTGAAATATACCATCTAATTTATATGGATTTATAACTGGTAGCTTGAATTCTGTCATTTGATAACATGGTGATTTGACAACTTTAACTGGCTAAAAAATAAAAGAATCAAAAGTAACACTTATAACTAAAGCATTGAAAAAGACATTTATTTTTACAGTCGAAGTAGAATCCACTATTTCAGTGTTGTAGATGAACGTCAGTAAACTAGGGAGTTAATTTAAAGGCATTCTGACAGCCAATTACAAACGCTTGACGCTAATCAATATTGATACATACTGACTGATAGTAAAAATCAACATAGTAATCAAGATTATGATCAGCGTTGTGTTTTGGGAGTTTCACAAAACATACATTTAATGTTTCAAGCCAGATAGTTCTATCAGAGAATTTAGTTGGAGATGCTGAGAGCCTCAAATATTTCAAGATTGCATGCAATGACTGAAGATAGTTCATACGGCATGTAGTTAGTTAGTCAATAAGGCAAAAACCTTTAACTGACCTGAACATCATTACCAGAAGCTTTCCTTCGAATCTTTTAATACACACTTTCCATATGCTGAATTTCTGATTTCGATGTTATAGCTTGTAAATCTTCGTCGTTGATTTTGACCCAGCTGATCGGCCACTATTAGGGAATTGGGCACTTGGAAAATGCCTAGATATCGCCAGTATTTTCATTTTGATACTAACGATGGATAATGGCTAGCAGTGGAATTCAGGATGAGCATCTCGTCCGGTTTGGGACTCGTCAACTGGAAGTACCTGCCTCCCATGGGGTGATGTTGTCCCCACTTCAGCTCTAACCCAGGACCAAATGCTTCAAACCCCAGAAAGTTCCCCACTAGGCCACTGAGTCACAATGGCTATCTTATGTGCGACGGGTATACTATTTTTTGATATTTTATTATTATTATTAGTCCCTTGGGTTCCGAGTGGAACATAGGGCTTCAGTAGCACGCCTCCAGTGACCTCTGTTCTCTGAGATCTTTTGAACCTGGTTCCACGACAGCCCAGAAGCTCTCATTTCCTCCTCGCATGACCTCCTCCATGTCACCCTCGGACGTCCAACTCGTCGCTTCCCATAGGGATTCCACTCGAGGGCCTGACGCGTGATATTATAGCTTGAAAATTCCTGTCGTTGACTGAAACGAATTGATTGGTCTTGTTTCGTTTCTTAGTCGGAACAACACATACAGCTGACGAGTCCGAAACAGGATATTTTGGCTTCCACCGCTCGACAATACCTATCATGAATTTCTAATGCTTAAATAATAATAATAATAACTTTACTACTAATATGCCTTCTTTTATTTTATACTTGGAAATTGCAAATGCTTAAAAATATATATGGCGTTACTGATGAATAAAAATAGTAACTTGGGTATCGCGATTAGATTTCTCTTTCCTAAGTCGGTTGAAATTATTGCATGACAGTGACTAGGTAACTTCCATTTAGAACTACATGGTACAGTTCTTTCCGGTGGTTTATTATTTTTCATTTTAGTCTGTTTGTTAGAAATGTCACGTTGTGAAACAGTCTAGTTTACTGGAAAACTTTTTGGACATCATGTGGTGTGTGAATCGGATATGGAAGATGAATTATGTCCGAAACGTTGTTCAGTAAATATTCTTTCCCTGAGTGGTATTTCTAATAAACATACCAAAATGGAATGACAATCCACCAGGATGACCAAGTTTTACTCCCATATTAATGGTTTTTTATTTTTACTACAGTGATCATTTGTGAAACTGTCTTGAAGGTAACATCAGAACTGATGTCAAAATAGGAGTGAGAGAATAAAACGTCTTGACCTGGTTTCAATCCTCCAACACACTAGCAAAACCAACATATGCAATGAAAACTATAAGCACATGTGTATATACAAAAACCATTCTGTAATTGATGCATTCATTGCATGCAAAATACGAGTGACTTTAAAGACCACCCTAGCAACTGCTGAAATGACCAATCACGCTTCGACATTTCGCTTGAGTAAGTACTTTCCCATAAAATCCAATTGGCTATCTCATCATTTGCTAGGGGGGCTTTTAAAGTCACCCCAAAATACACTACTTGAAGTTATTATCTTTTTTCAACAATAAGATAATGCATAATCATCCATGTAAAAAAAACCTCAAATCAATTTATCACATATAAGCTTGAGTATTGCAAATTTTAATTTACTATGACTTTGATAAAGCTATTGGGACTAAACAGTTCATATAACCTCATTATGTTTGACATTCGTTAGGAAATACAAATACCAAGATAATTAAGATTTTTTAACGTTACCATATACTGAGCAGGCGGTATTCTGAAAGCTGTCTGGTGCTTCAGTAAGGAAACAGCATTATGAATGAATGGATTCACAGACATGAGAATAAAATAGGAGTCTCATTCCTCAGTACGAACAACTGTACTTCCTAGAAACGATAATCAATACTAGTAACATTCAATAAATCAGACATAGGTGTTATTTATTTTATGATCCAAACACTGTGTATATCAGCTCGCATTATTAATTTGCTCCAATGGGTTATAAAACCTTTATTGTGACGGTGGAAGACTTACGGCTTTTACATTACTGTGATGGGGTCATTTGTTAGTGTGAAACAGACATGATTTTATTGGAAAATGAAAATCTCATTGCTAAATTATGTTAATACTTACTAGCATTTCAAGTCCACCAACACTTCCTGACAGTAAGAATGATAAGTTTTTGCCTTGAAATGTATTTTGACGTTGAGAGACTGCTAAAAATATTGCTTCTGTTGGTTTTAGGAAACGAGATCTACAACAGATACGTAAATAAATATGTGATATTTTTATCATACTTAGGTTATAAAAAGTCTTGGATAAAAATTGTAGAGAAGGAAAGCATTAGGCGATCGTTAATTCATCGTTCGACTACTTGTCTCATGGAGTATTAACTTACAGAGCTGCAGCCTCTATTGTAATATCCATATCAAACAGTGGTGTAAAATGGCTAGACAGATAACCGTATAAATAGTAATTATGAGGGATGATTTCTACTGTGTTATGGGACATTAACCGATGGCCAAGTCCTAAATGCTGGCTAGTGATTGAAGTGCATCTATTAATTCTGAAATGTTTGAAGTTTGAAGACGTAACGCTACGGTACAGTGAAGCGTGGTATCAGTTATTTATTTTATTTTATTTATCCCTTGGGTTCCTAATGGAACATAGGGCTTCAGTAACACGTCTCCTGTGCACTCTCTTCTCTACAGTCTTTTCAACCTGGCTCCAATACAGCCCACAAGCCCTCATTTCCTCCTCGCACGATCTCCTCCATGTCACCCCATAGCTAGGACGCCCAACTCGTCACTTCCCATCTGGGTTCCACTTGATGGCCTGGTCTTCTCAGTGCATACTCAATCCATCTCCACTTCCTTCCAGTGCATATTTGTTGAATGATAGGTTCTTAGTTGGTTCCTTACCAGCCAGAGTTCCTTGTTGCTTATTCCTGTTATTATGGCCATCTGAGCTTCAGTAACGAGCCAGCCTGGGCAGTTGTTGATGAATGTCTGTAGTTTGTTGGAAATCCCTTTCGTAACACGCCAAGTCTCTCAACCATCACATAGAAGCACTGACTTGACGTTGGTGTTGAAAATCCGCATCTTGTTCCACATACTGAGTGCAGAAGATCTCCACACTGGTTTCAGGTTAATGAAGACCAGTCTCGCTTTTCCAATCCTGGATTTCACGTTCTCGTCTGTGCAGCCTGTAGTTGAAACGGTGCTGCCTAGGTAGGTGAAAGAGGCTACTTCCTTTAAGTTTCTCTGGTTGATGGTGATTGGAGCTTGTTGTTATTGATGGTGTTGTTGGTTTGGTATATTCATCACCTCTGTCTTCTCAACATTCACTTGAAGTCCCGTCTTCGCTGCCACTTCTGCCAACTTTTTAGTTTTCGCCTGTAGATCTTCAAGTTTTTGTAACATCAGGCACAAGTCATCGGCGAAATCCAAATCTTCCAAATTCTTTTCCGCGGTTGAGAGTATCCCCCTCTTCTAGCTCCCCACTGTTTGTTGCATGATCCAGTCGACTACAATCAGGAATATCATGGGTGATAATACACAGCATTGTCTTACTCCTGTCTTCACTTCAAAAGCATCAGTGAGCTTCTCATTGTGAATTACCTGGCATGTGGCGTCTTCATATAGTTGTTGAATGAGATTGATAAAGGTTTGTGGTTTGTGTTGAAGCAGTTTCCAAATTACTTGTTGGTTGACGCTGTTGAAGGCCTTTCCAAAGTCGATAAAGTTGAGGTTGAGTTGAGTTGACTGCCATTCTATACTCTGTTCTATGATGATGCTTAGAGTAGCGTCGCGTTGCAATTTGATCCGCACATGATTTATTCTTTCTTAAGCCAGCCAGCCTGTTTCCGTAGTAGTTTTGAATCCAGTGCATACTTTAGTCTCTCAAAGATGATGCGGCTTAACATTTTGCTGGCTTGGGGTGGACAAGAGCGTGATTCCGCGCCAGTTCTTGCAAACACTGAGGTCTCCTTTCTTCGGGAGTTTGACAAGGTGACCCTTCTTCCAATCGCCAGGTACCTTCCCCCCCTTCTAGACTTTCTGCAATAGTGGTGTGGTGTGAGCATGTCCGCTGTTGTCTCTGTGTCTGTTCTCAGTGCTTCTGGAGGAATTCCATCTGGTCCTGCTGCTTTCCCGCATTTCAGTAGCTTTATGGCTTTCAGGACTTCCACTTTTGTTGGAGGATTTATGTTCACTTGTAGTTCAGCGGCTGCAGGTGGTATTTCTGGACGAAGTGCAGGTGGTGGTCGATTCAGGAGCTTTTTGAAGTGGTCAGCCCATCATTTCCTTTGTCTCTCTTCTTTGGTAATTAAATTTCCTTCATCAACTTTTATTGGTCTCATCTGTACTGATCTCTTCCCAGACAGCAAGTTACCTGGTTATTTGATACAATGTTGTCAGGTCTCTGTCTCTCTTACCTGCAGCCTGTTCTGCCTCACCTGCCAGTGTTTCGTAGAAGTGTCTTTTGTCTTTGCGTGCACTCTTCTTCACTTCTTTGTCCAGTGTAGTGTTTTATACATTGTACTCAGTTCCTCTTTTCGTCGTTCATCCTTGTACTGATTTATCTTCTGTTTCACCATCTTCCTCTCCTCTATCAGCTTCCACGTATCCATCGAGATCCATTCCTTATCTTCTTTCTTCTTCCTTCCTAATACTGTTGTGCAGGTTTCTTTCCACATCTCTTTCAAAGACTTCCAGTGTTCTTCCACACATGTTTCTTCAGGGATGTTCCTCGATATCTCCCATTTTGTCTTGATGGCTGCCTTGAAGATCTCCTTTGTAGTTTCATCCTTCAGTTTCCAAGTGTTGTACTTGAACTGAGGTCTATCACCAGCTTGTTTGAAGGCTTTCAACTTGATTTGGAAGGTAGGTTCCTTGCACTAGATAGTGGTCTGAACCTATATCTGCTCCACTTTCTTGAGATTGAGATGAAGTCGATCTGATTTTATTATGTCCTGGTGTCTGGTGAAATCCATGTCGCTGCCTAGTGAATATCCTTGTGTTTGTACACACTGCCTCGCCTCCAATCACGGAATCGTTGAATGTACAGACGCCTGCAAACAGTTCTCCATTCTCACTCATCATTTCACCGAGTACTTCTCGACCCATGATTGGTTCTCTTCCTGTGTTGTCCCCTCCCAGTTTGGCATTCATGTCACACATTAGACTTTTAATGTCACCATCTGCGGTGGGGTCTTGTCCAGTACTGATTGCAGTTGTCTGTAGAATTCCTCCTTCTTCTCTTGCTCTGCATTATTTGTAGGTGTAGAGTGTAGCATAGCATTGTATGATTGTGACCCTCTTTCCTTCCTTTTGACTTGAATCTTGCTGTCATGATCCTGATGCTGTAGGAGGAGATTGGTTCCCACTGCATGAGAGCCTTCGATGCTGTTGGGGACATCATGATAGCCACTCCATAACTCAGTGTGCTCATGGTTGTCGTCTTGGTGACAATATCGGAGTAGATTATTGACTCTCCAGTTGACAGTTTGGAGAGTCCACTTCCATTCCACCTGCTTTCGCAGATTCCTATCACTTCAATGTGATACCTTCTCATTTCGTTTGCAATCTGGACAGCCTTGCTAGGTTCAAACACAGTGCAGACATTCCATGTCCCCACGTTTACTGTCATTCTATGCTCTGTTCTATGACGATGCATAGAGTAGCGTAGCGTTGCAATTTGATCCTCACATGACTTGTTCATCCTTAAGCCTGCCACTCAGCCTGTTCCGGTCGTAGTTTTAAATGCAAAGCGTCTTTTAATCTCTCCAGGATGATTCGGCTTAATATTTTGCTTGGATGGGTGGGGACAGCAGCATGGTTCCCTGCCAGCTCTTTCAAAAGCTTAGGTCTCCCTTCTTTGGAAGTTTGACAAGGTAGTCCTTCTTCCAATCTGCGGTTACCTTCCCTTCCTTCCAAACCTTTTCAGTAGCGATATCAGCATGTCCGCTGCTGTTGTCTCTGTGTCTGTTTTCAATGCATCTGGCGAAATTCCATCTGGTTCTGCTGCTTTGCCGGATTCCAGCAACTTTATGGTATTCAGGACTACCTTTCAGCTTTTGTCGGAGAACTTGTGTTCACTGGTAATTCTGTGTCTGCATGTGGTATTTCTGGTCAAGTTGCAGGTGGTGTTGGTGGTGGTGGTGATGGTCGATTCAAGAGTTTCTTGAAGTGGTCAGCCCATTGTTTCCTTCTTTTCTTCTCTTTGGTAACTAAGTTTCCTTCACCATCTTTCATAGGTTTTGTCTGCGTTGATCTCTTCCCTCCCAGATGGGAATCTGGTTATTTGATATAATGTTGTCAGGTTTCTCCTACTAGCAGCTTGTTTCGCTTCACTAGCCAATGTGTTGTAGAAGTGTCTTTTGTCTTTCCGTACAATCTTCTTCACTTCTTTGTCAAGTGTTTTATATGCTTTCTGATAGATAGGCGAATTTCTCCAGTGCGAAATGTGACACAAAATTTCGAATACCACACAAATCCACACTGGCTTCTAGGGGATAATATTACATCCCAAACAAGTGAGTTAGTCGAAGCATACAAACGTCGAGTCATTAATTTTAATCTACAAATTTTAGGTATACTGACTAAAAGGATTACTCTCCTCTTTTATTATTTCTTCAGCTTAGTAAATACGCACTGCTCATACTGAAGGTAAAGTTTCAAATCCTTAAAATACTGTTACTCTTAAATGTTCAGTTGATCAAATTCATTTAGTTATAACAGTCTTGCTAGTTATGTAACACGAAAATGTGCAAAACAATGGAAATTTATCACGCATTTTTGAGAGTAAACTTAGGAATAATGGGATAAAAAAAGAAGTCGAGAAGTGAGCTTCATAATTAAATAAATTGTGAATGTGGTACTTTTACATTTAAGTCTGTTAAGAAAAAGCCATTAAAGTTGGTTTTTCGAGTGGAATAAGTTTTGTTCTCACTGAATAAGCATAAATATGCATACGAGAGATGGAGAAGACTCCGTCCAAGTCCTTGTTTGATCACAGATTTGCGTTCCGCATTGTACCCCTGAAGTGGAGTTTATCATTAAGAAACTCTTGGTAAATGTGGTAGAGGCTAATACTACTGTATCGAACAATTACACTTTGTAATAACTACATCAAATCATTAAATCCCAATGATATAAACCTACTTGTATTCAATGCATAACTGAATTTTCCCTTTCGGTGATATGGTAATTCTCATTTCTTTCACATTGTTACACAACTGTTCGTTACTATTATTGACAGTAACGTTGTAATCTGCTGAACGTTTTGACTTTTTTGCTTCGTTTCTATTGGTATGCACTTTATTATTTTCACGTTTTGTAGATTTATTTAAATTTCCACTGAGTGTACAAGTAAAATCGATTGCATTTGGACCAATTATAACACAGTAGTAGGTTAATGTATGAGAACTAGTGTTTGTAATAACTAGTTGACGTTTTGTTGTAGAATTTAAAAGACCTTTTTGGAACATAAAATCGAAATAAAATAGTTAACAAAGTAAATTTGGTGAAATTCGAATAGTGTTTATGTTTGCTCAGAGGATTTTGATGCATGGTAGGCTTGATCAATTATCAACTTCTTGATACTTTGAGATTGATAACCTTTCATTGAACAACTCTCACCACCAGATTGGTATGTAATTTCACGTTTGAAAATGCTATATTAGTGTAGAGCCATTGATGAGGAACTAACTGAAACGAAATATTTCTTCGCTCACATCGTTTGTTTTATTGAAGTATACTGTTTATCAGTGTTTAATATCTAGACATTACTGATAATGGGATTCCACTTTTACGAAATAAACCAAAGTCACTTAAATGGACTATAGTCGCTTTTCATATTCTAGGTACTTTTACTTTTGAACACCTTTAATAAATCTCAATAATGTGCAGACTTTTGGAAGATGGTCAATTAATGTAACCGAAGTCGATGGAAATAAAAAACTATTTCATACGCTGAAAACTTACTAGTGAGCAATATATGTATGAATTCAAATACAGGAATTTATATAAATAAGGTTAAAGCGAAGGTTGCATGCACATTATTGTAGGGAAGTAAAAATTCAAGTAATCTTGTAAATTCTTGCATTATTCGAAAGATGTAGTTAAATCAAAATGCATTTATCAGTTTACATGAACGTGTTTACACATGCATAGAGAAGAATCGTTTACTTATGCAAGCTAGGGCAATTGATCATATTTTAAACTGGTTGAAACAAAAAAATAAATAGAAAAATCAACAAACTTGACGAAATATACCCATTTATTCATTGCAAATTAACAAAAAGACAACTCAGTAGGGAAAATTTTCTTTTCATTTCATTTTCAGAAGCTGCATATTCCTATTTATACATAGAATAACGCTATCGACCAGAAAATAGATGCCCAACTTCCTTAGTGTCGGAAAATATCACTGAGATGAGTCACAAGGTCGGTAAGTATACATCTTTATAAACTACTTACTAAACTAATTGAGGACACAATGAAGTTGGTTGAAGCTGTAACTATGAAAAGTTTATATCTCATTAATATAGGCGTAAGACTTGGACACTGTGATTTACCCAAAGATGTTCAACGCAACAACAGATTCTCCTGAATGCTTAAAGATTAAAACTTCCATATTAGATTTGACTATCTGATTTATAACACACAGTGATCTAGCATTTTGTTTTACTTGATGACGTCTCGAGCACAAATTATTTGCTCATAATCATATCAGTGTAATCACATTCCCTTCGATATCTGATTTTTATATTCCTGTCACATGATATTCTTTGCTTTTATTGGTAGTAAAGTTTTCCATATCTCTGGTATGGATGTTGCGTCATTTCTATTACATCTGTTGCTTGTAGATTCGATGAACAAAGATTCCGTAGTTCATCTCTCTCTCTCTCTCTCTCCACCTAATTATATTGGACTTAAGTACAGTGGTTTTATCCCACACTATTGTGTAGTTGTGTGTTAATGCATGCACTGTAACAGGCAAGTGTTGTTCTAGATTATTGATCTTATTCGGTTCTGTCATTCTATATTTAGCTGAATTCCTATGTTCTACTAGTCTAACTGATCCCGGCCGGCTAGTTTGACCTATGCATTTGACCTCAAAGTCAATGCATGGAATTTGATAGATTAGATTATTTGTTTGGTTATTCAGTTAATTGGTTCTATCGGATCCTTAAGCCGACAGACCCAAATAAGATCAATAATCTAGAACAACACTTGCCTGTTACAGTGCATGCATTAACACACAACTACACAATAGTGTGGGATAAAACCACTGTACTTAAGTCCAATATAATTAGATGGAGCGAGAGAGAGATGAACTACGGAATCTTTGTTCATCGAATCTACAAGCAACAGATGTAATAGAAATGACGCAACATCCATACCAGAGATATGGAAAACTTTACTACCAATAAAAGCAAAGAATATCATGTGACAGGAATATAAAAATCAGATATCGAAGGGAATGTGATTACACTGATATGATTATGAGCAAATAATTTGTGCTCGAGACGTCATCAAGTAAAACAAAATGCTAGATCACTGTGTGTTATAAATCAGATAGACAAATCTAATATGGAAGTTTTAATCTTTAAGCATTCAGGAGAATCTGTTGTTGCGTTGAACATCTTTGGGTAAATCGTCTTCAACATCAAGGCTGATTCCGTTCCCATATATGATTTCACTTAAATTCGACCCTTTGTTAGATCAATTATTTTCTTAATCCATTTACCCGTTGTTACCTGTCGCATAAATATGCACGACAAGTATGTGAGTGATCTGTTTCTTTGAAAGGTATGATGCAAATACACCACATGTTTGAGATAAACTATGCCTCCTTATTGTTTATTCAAAATTCTAAGGTGATTTATATAGAATTACTAAAAACTATAGTTGAGAGACCATTTGCAATTCCCCAAGTTACAGTAGTTTTCACTTACCGATCAGCAGCATTAACCTACCTGTAAAATGTATTGTTTGTTTCGGTAAATAGTCAGGTAGTTGACAGGATAAGTGTAAGCATAATAGTGACATTCCAAATGGATGTGGACTTGTTAAATCGGATGGATATAAATCGTATTCGAAACGAATTACTCTTAATGCTTGAACTACAATAATTGCATTATGAAAACATTGCTCATTTGATGTTGGTTGTGTATACATTTTAGATAAATAATTGGGGATCTAAAGACATGAGAAAGATGATGTTCTGCCTTTAGTTACAGGATTAGGATAACATAATGGCCAATTAATTAAATACTTAACAAGAATGTTTGAAAATGGACTTGCTTGTAAATTAGACATAGTTCCCTTCTAAGGTATAGATATCAACAATTCAACTGCTTAACCTGATAAATTTCTCTTTCGATTTATAGCAGCATTCTTAAGCAAAACTCGAGGAGAATACCTTTCAGTGTGAAAGCTTTGAATGGGAATAGTTGACAGAGAAATAATCAGTTTAAATTCCAAGGACTTATTTTCGAGGTGTATCCGACTTGATGTCAACATAGCACACTTGTTTGAATAACTGCATGACCAAGAACACTAAAGGATAAATCTAACTGTCTGAAGAAAACGTAAGAGTAAAACTTGGTCTCTGCTATAGGATATAATTTCATATTAGACTGTTTGCTTGATATGCCACGTGCAAGAAACCGACAGCAAAATCCCTTAGAAGAAGTGATAAATGCGTTTAAATGTTATTCAATCGAACTTATGGTCATCGTATTTTTGGCTGACTCGGTGGCCTAGTGAATAACGCTCTGGCAATGAAACGATCGGTCCTGGGTTCTATTTTCATTGGGAACAATATCGCTCACTGGGGGCAGGCACATCCAGTTGATGAGTCTCAGATAAGACGAAACGCTCATTGTGGATTCTGCTGTTGGTCGCTATCTGTTATTACTGTAAAATTTATAGTCATCTGTAAATATAATAACAGAAATTAAGTTAATTAGTAGAGTCTAAAATCATGCTATAACCTTTTATATTGTCAAAAATGTGAGACGCTAAAAGTAGCTAGAACTGTAGTACATGTGTTTGATCTTATTAGCGTAATGCATCCAGATATATTAGTTTTGGGGATGGTTATCTCAATGAACTTTTATCACGATGCATATTAAAAAAAATGGTTGTATACGACAAGTTCAATGTTCAGTGTAAACGACAGGTTTTTATATGATGTTGCGTGTACCCTAGATTGGTAAATCTTCAAACAAAGAACAAATTTGAAATTCGGAGTCTACTAATACGTAGTACAGTTTTATCTAATTTTTATTATCCTAGTGAATACACGGAATTTTAAGTGTTCGTAATATTTAACATTTGATTATACGAGAATATAGAAAACACGCTCTGATTAATAAATAATAAAAATAACAAGTAAATGGACAGAAAACTCACAAGACTAGGTATATATGCACCGATGGTACTGGCTAGTACAATTCCATCTCGTAGATCATTATCAAAATTAGTAACAATCCAGCTATCCTTGAATACTGATTTCCTCTCCGGCCATATCTGACACGCATACTGATGATAACAGTAATTTAACCAAGCCAAAAGGATACGTTCACACGGTGAATAACAACTATTCACCTGTGTATCATTCAGATGTGTCGGTTTAGATTTTTGTATACTGTTATTCTTAGCCGGCAAGCGTACTGCATGTGCCACAACTTGGTCTGATCTACTGGACTCATTCTGATGTGGGCAAGACGCTGATGATGAGGTTGATGACAATGAACATGTCTGGTTTAGTCGTAACACTTTTGGCGGTAAAGTAATCAGGTCAAGTGAGCTAGTGGTTATTCGATTGAATAGAAGACACTAAGGTGTTTATGGAGAACAGAAAAAAGGACAAGTAATATTAACTGCAAATCTAGGAACCAGTAAACGGTTTGATAAAGTTTTAAGTCAACTGTATACATCTTGAGATTGAAAAAATGAAAATCAAACGGTAATATGCTGCTTTGTTGTTCTTTTTTCTGAAACTATTGGGCAATATTTAAAAGTGTAGTGCGATCCCCCAAAAGCATTATGAAATGAGATGTAGAACAAGAGAATGTTTGTAAATGGTTACCATATTGTAAGGTTTAGTATTTTTACCGTCATCGTTTGGATTTTCTCAACAAACCATATCAGCTGCTGAACTGGATGTCCTTTCATTAGTATCTCAGGATACCACTTGGACAAAGCCACATTTGAAAATGATGGTGTCAGGACATCCTCGAGAGGTCCCAAAGGTTTCTTGTGGTTGATGAGCACAAGAAGCAGGAGCAGAAGATGGTGGTGTCTAGGACCTTGACAGGCCAGGCAAAGGTAGCCTATGAGGCAGTGCCTAGTGAGAGGAAGCATATCAAGTAGAGCAAGGTGTGGGGGATTTTTTGCGCGCAGCTGATGACGGCTTTCGATAACTCAACTGTGGAGGTGAAGTAGGCTATTTCCTTGCAAAAGGAAATGAAAACCTAACACACAATAGCAGCCGAAGAATAATTGCAGGTGAGGAAGGTGGTTTTGGCGGTGTTATGTTCTCTGAGCTCTTGACACGGACATCAATGATTCTACTGCAAGAGGACTTGGCATTGGGCTAGAAACTGCCCTGGGTTACGAAAACATAGTAATTTTCGAAATTACAATGTGCGTTTTTGCTAACCGTTATAATCAGAGTTTACTGAAGTGATAGAGAGAGGGGTAATGTATGCTAGAATGCGACTGGATTCACAGGAACTATTTTATGTATTCTATTCACCCTTAAAACAGTAATTCAATCAATAACGGAGGCAATAGATGCCGAAGAGCTGACAATTATTCTCAGACAGAAAGATTAACTAAGAGTGGATTCTTTTGGTGCTCTGATTGACGGGACGACTATGAAAACTATGTATCTGTAGTTCCTAAACGCTACGACAACCCATGACTGTCATCAGCTGGCACATGTAGGAGCTACAAGGATGACTAATATATAGAAGTGAAGTATATATTGAACGAAAATGTGATCAGATGCTGAGATGTAAGTGCTGATCTGCCTACAGTGCAAGTTAAGGAAAGGTGATTATCCCATATCTTCATCATTGCAGTCGATTCTAGGTACAACAATCTTTGATCTCTAGTAACTAGTAACCATTCCATCAGATGTCCTTTGGCAAACAATACTTGCTCACCATGGTAGAGTTTGAAACTTGTTTGATGAGGGAAACTCTAATTCCCCACCAGTAGGCAATGACAGTAACGGAGGCTGTATAAGACAGGTTCGTGGAAACCTAAGCGTACTGAAGGTGATAATGATGGATCAGTAATCCCAATTTCCGAGTGAAGAGTCCACGTCTTACTTGTGGCAGCTAATTGTTGAAAAATAGGCACAACTCCTTACTACCCGCAGATTCATGGACTGAAAAGAAGAAATAACCGTATTTTCGAAGAGTGGCTGGGTAGGAAACGAGGTAACTGGGAAGCAGAAACTGCCATTTATCATATCAACACACTGCGCATCCGTGCAGGCAGCAATGAATAAATCATCATTCCAGCCAATGTGTGGCAGGAGATCTAGATTGCCAGTGCATGTTAAGACCTGGCCTCAATCAACGTGATGGGTATCGGAATGAGGACAGGTCATCAAGAATTTCAGAGGATAGCAGATTCATTGAACTTTGAATTGAAACGAAGGCTAAGATGAAGAATTTTCAAGGAATAAAAGTGGGTGAAGTTGGGAGCACGACAGTGCATCACGGAAGGCGAACCAGGACCGTGAAAACAGCTCCCAAAATGGGAGGGTCAGTATATGGTCACGAGGAGATGTGGCCCAAATTATTCGATCAGCAGGAAGAATGAAGAAAAACTTGTGAACGGTAGTTTATATCATAAGTGAGCACCGGTGTAGGTGGAAGCGGAGCTGGAAACTTCACAAAAGAAGATACCGATAATATGATAGTCAGGGTGATGGAAGCAGCTTTTTTAGAAGAGGGACATATGCAGTAAGAGCTACACGTAAGAATAAATATAACATACAATACGAAATCCAAATTGATGACTATCCATTGGTAAGGATTAGATCAAAAGGGATGCACGAAACAGGATAGAATCATAGAGGGTAAAAATATCGCGGAATGGGATATAGAATAATAGACTGTACAAGTGGGTACTTATTACTTTTACCACTACAAGCTGTCTGAACAAACTACGACTTCTCCACTCAGCTAGTATCTTACTATACAAACACAGAAAAAATACAGTCTTACGAGTGGTCACATAATTTTTAATTCATTCTATTAGATTTCCAAAACATTTTGTCTCATGTAGGAACTACGAATTCATGGTTGAACACAAGATGTGTCTTCTTATCATCCATAGTTAAGCAGTATGAATTATTGTCAGTTAAATAAATTTGATATAGTGATGCATTTAAAGAAAGTTTTTTGATTAATATGGACATCTTTCGACACGCAACACTGACATGTTCAGTACGGATTTGCACCTTAACCATTTGAAATCTTAAATGAATAATAAATATAATCAGTCTGTATACCTAAAAGTAGTAATGTGGTGGAACTACTGAATATAGTACTAAGTATGGAAAGCAGATCAGTCAACCTAGTCATGAACCTTCATCAACTGAGCTGGGTTGGATGTGTTGTATATTCCGATGAACCATCTACCTAGATTTTCTATAGTAGTCGAAGGGAGATTAGGTTAGGAGAAGTCTTCGGGTGGCAGGGAAAAGCGTAGGAAGCAATGATTAAAGACTTTCGGTGGTGTAACACGTAATACATCTCAATGTAACGCATATACTCACTCTTTTGAACACTCGCCAACATTTGCTGAGTTATTTTTTTCTCTCCCATAGACTTTTGTTTGCTTTATTATCATTCTTTTGCCTTCCCTTTCGTTTGCTATGATGAACTGTAGCAATTTGAACCTACGCACTTCAGTGCAAGCTTACACAGTAATGTTTGTCTATCCTATCGCTGTTCAGATGTGACATAAGTAGTTTCGATTTGTGACACTTAAAAAGAATAAGTGAGATAGTTTTGGAAGACTACGGCACCATTACTCCTTCTGCCTGTTTATTTAGTAGTGTGGACATTATTTTCAAAATTTCACCCAATCAAGTTTTCAATATTTATCATTGATACAGTAATTTTTCCCATCAGCCTTAACAGTCCTGTTTTAATGAGGAGATAAGCATTTTCTTACATGAATAAGTCTTTCGAAGTCTTTCTATGCGTGTGTCCGAGATTACATAAGCTGGTGAAAAGAATTCCAAGCTGCCAATGGTACACAATTAAAAAGCACTGGATTACTTGTTGAACGTGAAAGTAAGTAAATTCGCATGGTTACCGTGTCATATAATCAAGGAATTAGAGCATAACTGAGACAGCATTCATTTACAGAACACCTATAGTCTAGAGATTATTTTCCTTTACCTTGATTATCTGCAGCATTAAATCTGTCCATGCCCTTTCAGATATTATTAAAAACCGTTCTACCGTTGATTCACTCAGAAGGCATAAATCAATCTTTATTGAATCATAATTATTCTGTTTACTGCCATAGTTAGCTGCTTGTGGTTTTTCAAAGTCTGTCGTTGGTATGGTGTTTAGACTCTGGCTCATTGATGTACACACTGTGCGTGCAGATTCTGTTAAACCAGGACATCCATATTTGTACCATAAACGATAATCGTTTGGTTCCATCAAATGTTCTGGTAAAATATGTGGTAAGCAACTGCCTTGACTGTTTGAAAAGAAGCATTTAAAAGAGCAGTGATTAAAAAAATTCAGGTAGAAGTTTGTGTAATAAGCTACAAGTTCTGTTATTGTATGAGGGTTTATGATACTGTACAGTTGACCAGGGTAAAGTCGGTGTTTCAATCCGGAACCCTACTGCTGGATAGTCAAGTGCATGGACCAATGACCCACATTTCTGTTTACGAAGGTAGAAAACACTGAAATAAATTAAAATCAAAATTCTAAAGAAGACCTTAATATTTTTTGGTTTCTGCAAGTACATATTTCAAAGTTTCATAAAAAGCAGTGTAGCAGCAATTTATTGGATATATCTCAAGGTTGACTGCATGTGCGACAAATGAATTTGTTCTTTCACATTATCATGACAGTTGAATAATTTAATTCTGGATTGAAGTTTATTGCTAATGATGGATAGTGACTTGTAGTAGAATCAAGGAGGCGCGTTTTGTCCCACTTGTGACTTGTCATGTCTTGATGTGAATATGGACAATAAATTGCATCCAAAACGTAATCCAGTGAATAATAGTGTTCCACTGTGGGAAACATCTAATAAATCAACTAAATGAAATTATATTGGACCCCAGTGCCCAAGTTTTACTCTTACATTAATCCAAATGTTGACCTATTAGACATTGATAAACTCATTTTAATTTTGAGCTTTGAGGAGAATTAATTACTGATTCCGGGTGGGTATTTACCATAGACTGACGCTAATTGGAGAGCTACTGGAAAGCTCTCTGTCCTGGTACGGGACTCCTCAGAAGTGTGCATCCATGATCTCGCCCACGGAGGATCGGACCTAGGACCTTCTGGTTTCCGTCATCAGCACTTTTCTATTGAGCCTCTGCCAGTTCACGATATAGTGTTCGATTCCTGAAGGTTTCACGGATGCGCATCCCTGAAGAGTCCCATACGAGGACAAAACAGTTGTCCAGGGCTCCCAGGTTTTCAATAGTTCTCTAGTTGGCGTCAGTCCCAGACGAGCACCAACCTGAAATCAATAGACTCATTTGTTTTTTTATTACTGTAAATACGATTGTGTAGTCACTGAAAATAATTCGTCAAGAAAAAATTACTTTCGCTGAACCACTTTGTGCTTTTAGATATCTCAAAAGGATTTTTTCCTCTGAATTCTGTATGCCTAAAATATCTATATGTATTGTATGGTCGTAATAACTGGTGCTGTTCGTGAACCTTCAAAATTGGGACTTTCGTCAGTAGTGTTGTTCATCCTGTTTTTACTATTGAAATAAAGATTAGTTAAAGTAGGATATAATCCAGGTGCTTTAGCTAATTCATACATATGCATGGTCACTGAAATCAAGTTATATTTTTCAGTTAGGAGTAAGAGGATTTGAGAAATGCAGTCTTCTAAACATCTGATATGTGGTAAGCGTTCTATGGTCGCTAGTACGTTTATATCATTTACATCACCAACGTTTACGTGATTCCTGGTTACAGCCATTCTGAATTACTCAGATTCGCTGACAAATTCACGGAATTCGCTGCTCCCATAATGTGTGGTTCTTCGTCTGTTGTCTGCAGTGATTTCAACTCTTGTGACTGCAGCTTTCTGTGCTCTCTTGATCAGTTTTTCGACTCTTTTTGATGTCACATTAAACTTCGCTAATGAATCTGGTATGTGTGAAATTCGTGCACATGTACCACTATTGGTCTCAGATCACTGTGTTATACGTGTTCTGTTAAAAATACATGGTAAATTACAGAAAATACTTTCACATGACAATCTAAGAATACTATACTATACACAGGAGCTTTACATATGACAATATATATAAACTCAGATGCATGTTGCAAAACACATGAAATATATTTGAAAATGATGCTCTGGATAACACAATCGACGATGTTACATGCCCTCTTAAATGTTGCCTTGATATTTGCTGCCCAGCTGAAACACTTTTTCAAGGTTTGATAGACTTTCTTCTCCGTAATTAAATAGGCTGTGAAGCAAAAATAAAACTGCTCAAGTTGAAAAATGATACTGGTGTTAAACGACTTAACTGACTGATTAAGTTTGAAATAAAACGCCTAAATTTAATGCTTGACCAGAAGATCATGTCATGTGAAAACCCTTGTAGCATATGGAGACTTTTTATTGATCTTACTGTCCAGGGAAAACTCAGGTAGGAGGCCTGAGGAAACGTCTGTACACTAAGCCAGTCATTCAAACGTAGACCTGCTAATGTTATCTTATCAAGTTCTTTACTAATAACAAAAGGTAGTTTCTCCGAATTCAACGAAACAGATGTATTCAAATGCCCAAAATCATTAAAACCTCCACAAAGCCAAGGACCGGATGGCATGCCAGATATCCTGTTTAGCTAATGTGTTGATATCCGAAGTCATCCACACACAAATATTTTGATTTAGTCCTTTGGCAGAATTGACCTATCTGCAAGAAAATTAAAATAGTTCTGGTACCTAAACCCATAGTTTCACTAGCGAAAGTGAAATTGTGACCGGTCGCGATAACCCAACGATTTATAAGAACAACGTAACAACTATTGCGTCGTGTGCCTGAACCTCCTTCGGAGGTTTTTTACAATATAATATCATTGCCAGTCTAGATAAAGGTCCTAAGTATGTTACATCTGCCTTTTCAAAGGAAACTTCGGCCTTTCATTCTGTAATAATCATTATTATTATTACTTTTCCCTTGGGTTCCTAGTGGAACATCAGGCTTCAGTAGCACATCTCCATTGCACTCTCTTCTCTGCAGTCTTTTCAACCTGGCTCCACGACTGCCAACAAGCTTTCATTTCTTCCTCACACCGTCTCCTCAGTGTCACACTAGCCTCGGACGCCCAACTCATCATTTCCCATGCGGGTTCCACTCCACAGCCTGACCTGGCCTCACACGTGATGTTCACAACCGACCTTCTCAGTTTATGCTCAATCCATCTCCACTTTCCTCTGCATATTTGTTGGGCGATATATTCTTAGTTGGTTCGTTGCCCACCAGCCAGAGTTCCTTGTTGCTTATTCTTCATGGCCATCTGGCCTGATCTTCAGTATCGAGTGAGCGTAGGCGATAGCTGTTGATGTATGTCTGCAGTTTGCTGGAAATACTTTTCGTGACACGCCAAGTCTCTCAACCATATGGAACCACTGAATTGACTGAATTGGTGTTGAAAATCCGGATATTTCTCTTTATACTGAGTGGAGTGCAGTAGATCTTCACACTGATTTAAGGTTAATGAAAGCCTGTCTTGCTACCTTTCAAATTTTGATTTTGACATCTTCATCTGTGCCTGTGCCACCGCCTGTAGATGAAACGATGCTGCCTAGGTAGGTAGGTAGGTAGGTAGGTGGGTGAAAGAGACTATTTTCTTTGGGTTTCTCCTGTTGATGGTGATTGGTGCATATTGTTATTGTTGATGCTGTTGTTGGTTGGGTATCTTCATCACCTCCGTCTTCTCTACATTCACTTGGAGTCCCGTCTTCGCTGCCCTGCCCCTTCCATCAACTTGTTGGCTTTTGCCTGTAGGTCTTCAAGTTTGTGCAATACTAGACGTAAATCATCATCGACGAAACCAAAATCCTCTTCTGGGGTCTTTTCATTGGTCCAGCCAGCGTATGCCCCTCTTCCCATAGCTTCTCAAACTTTGCTGCATGATCCAGTCGACCACAATCAGGAGATCATCGGTGATAGTAGTCCATAGCCTCTTCTTATTTCTGTCCCCTGTCTTCACTTCAGAGGCGTCACTCAGCTCCCCATTGTGAATCACTTGGCATGTAGCATCATGTCACATATAGCTGTTGAATTAGGTTGATAAAGATTTGTGGCACTCAAACCGTAGTGTTGAAGACGCTGCCTGTCAAATAACTATTCGGCCAACGCCTGGGTCGATGGCGTTTTCAAAGTCGATGAAGTTGAGTTGACTGTCATTCTATAATCTGTTCTATGACGATGCATAGAGTAGCGTAGCGTTGCAATTTGATCCTCACATGACTTGTTCATCCTTAAGCCTGCCACTCAGCCTGTTCCGGTCGTAGTTTTAAATGCAAAGCGTCTTTTAATCTCTCCAGGATGATTCGGCTTAATATTTTGCTTGGATGGGTGGGGACAGCAGCATGGTTCCCTGCCAGCTCTTTCAAAAGCTTAGGTCTCCCTTCTTTGGAAGTTTGACAAGGTAGTCCTTCTTCCAATCTGCGGTTACCTTCCCTTCCTTCCAAACCTTTTCAGTAGCGATATCAGCATGTCCGCTGCTGTTGTCTCTGTGTCTGTTTTCAATGCATCTGGCGAAATTCCATCTGGTTCTGCTGCTTTGCCGGATTCAGCAACTTTATGGTATTCAGGACTACCTTTCAGCTTTTGTCGGAGAACTTGTGTTCACTGGTAATTCTGTGTCTGCATGTGGTATTTCTGGTCAAGTTGCAGGTGGTGTTGGTGGTGGTGGTGGTGGTCGATTCAAGAGTTTCTTGAAGTGGTCAGCCCATTGTTTCCTTCTTTTCTTCTCTTTGGTAACTAAGTTTCCTTCACCATCTTTCATAGGTTTTGTCTGCGTTGATCTCTTCCCTCCCAGATGGGAATCTGGTTATTTGATATAATGTTGTCAGGTTTCTCCTACAAGCAGCCTGCTCTGCTTCACTAGCCAATGTGTTGTAGAAGTGTCTTTCTTCTTTGCGCACACTCTTCTTCACTTCTCTGCCCTATCTTTTCACAGTGTACTCAGTTCTTCTTTTTGCGGTTAATCCTTACACTGGTTCATCTTCTGTTTCACCATCTTCCTCTCCCTGCTCTATCAGCTTCAATGTGTCTGTCGAGATACATTTCTTGTCCTGTTTTTGTTCCTTCCTAATACTTGTTATGCAAGTTGCTTCTAACTTAGCTTTCAAGGAGTTCCAGTGTTCTTCCATGCCCCATCCTTCAGATATGTTCCTCAATGTCTCGCATTTTTTCCTCATGACTGACTGACGTGAAGATGTTCTTTGAAGTTTCGTCCTTCAATTTCTGGGTGTTGAACTTGAAATGTGGTCTATCACCAGCTTGTTTGAAGGCTTTCAACTTGATTTGGAAGGTAGGTTCCTTGCACTAGATAGTGAGTGATGTGAACCTACATCCACTCCCCTTCATCATCTTGTGTCCAATATCCTGCATCTTCACTCTCTTCACATTGAGATGAAGTCGTCATGATTTTTAGTGTAGTATGTCCTGGTGTCTGGTGAAATGAAATCCATGTCGCTGCCTTGTGAATATCCTTGTGTTGGTACACACTGCCTCGCCTCCAATCACGGAATCGTTGAATGTACAGACGCCTGCAAACAGTTCTCCATTCTCACTCATCATTTCACCGAGTACTTCTCGACCCATGATTGGTTCTCTTCCTGTGTTGTCCCCTCCCAGTTTGGCATTCATGTCACACATTAGACTTTTAATGTCACCATCTGCGGTGGGGTCTTGTCCAGTACTGATTGCAGTTGTCTGTAGAATTCCTCCTTCTTCTCTTGCTCTGCATTATTTGTAGGTGTAGAGTGTAGCATAGCATTGTATGATTGTGACCCTCTTTCCTTCCTTTTGACTTGAATCTTGCTGTCATGATCCTGATGCTGTAGGAGGAGATTGGTTCCCACTGCATGAGAGCCTTCGATGCTGTTGGGGACATCATGATAGCCACTCCATAACTCAGTGTGCTCATGGTTGTCGTCTTGGTGACAATATCGGAGTAGATTATTGACTCTCCAGTTGACAGTTTGGAGAGTCCACTTTCATTCCACCTGCTATCGCAGATTTCTATCACTTTAATGTGATACCTTCTCATCTCGTTTGCAATCTGGACAGCCTTGCTAGGTTCAAACACAGTGCAGACATTCCATGTCCCCATTCTTACTTTCACTCTCGTTGAGAGGAGACACATCAAGCAACTTGCTTTCTGAAGGCTTTCACCAACCGGGGTTATTTCGTCTTGCTGATTCCAGCGAGGAATAAGTTTTATAAGTTTTTTTGGTATTTTCTTTGTGTTTTCAAGTTTCTTTATTGATTGGATTTGTTTTCTTGTGTAGGTTTGCTAGCTCTACGCACAACATTCCCTCTTTACCCGAGCTTAGGACCGGCTAGTAACTAGTGAACTAGTTAACTTTTTATTGAACAAACTTGTCAGAACTCACACTGGGCCCTGGATTGCAGACTGGCTTTGTTGTTATTTTCTGAGAGAAGACGTTACACTCTGTTCAGAGGGAAGCGCTCTACTTTGCTATTTAGTGGCTCTGGTGTCCCTCATGGTGCTGTTCTTTCCCATTAACTTTTCTTCTTTCTTTCTGCATGACTTAGTAACCTCAACTAAATATAACTTTTTTGAGTTGCCAGGTGACGTAACAGTATCAACGTCGATCACATCCTCTTCAGATTGTTCTACGTTTAATAACTTCTTGACCGGAGTTGGTCGCTGGTCTCCTGTAGCTGGCCTCACAGTCAACACCCCCAAACATCGGACGGCTGGTTTCAGCCAAGGACGTCAACAAGACCTTTGTAAATTTCTTAAGTCCCATGGCTTTTATCTTACAGATTGCTTTATTTTTGAGAATGTATCAAGCGTAATCCATCCTGGTCTATGCTTTTCTTCTGATCTTTCTTGATCCATTCATATCTTATTGATTTCTAGAAAAATTCTTCACCTTATCTTACGTATAGGGAAACTCATGCTGTCTGGCATAATTCAATCTCTACTCATACGTTTCACTAATTCATGTGCCTTGCCTATATTTGCTTATTTTCCCTCCACATTCTTTCCTGGATTCAGGTGAAAAGACTACGCTGGATTGCGTAGCATTTTGAAGGATGTTAGTAGAGCAAGTGGTACACTAGTCATGCTGATAAGTGCGATCGTGAATGGATATCCGAACTCTTGTAGACTGTGGCTAAAACTGTTTTATCTGATGACAAGCATCCTCTGCATTCTTGCTTCTCTCCATGTCGTCCTCTGGGAAGACGAGAAGCAATATTTACCTCTATGCACGCACAACTACATACAAAATTTAAGCATACCGCATTTGGCTTGTGTATTATGTGGAGAAAATCATGTTAAACATAATCTTATCAGGCAACTTTGCAACAGTAAGCAGTTATCATAACCCTAAAGTCAGTAAACATTTCAACAATCCTGTTATTGTTTATTATATATTGTTAAGCAGCGCCGTTTTTAATACATATTTGGATAATGCTGTACAACGGGTATCAAAAGCTAAGAATTTTGTACTGTAAACAAAACTATGGTTTGGAATAAAGTGTTTTATTATTACTAAGCATTTATAGTGAACGACTGAGCTGATTACTATTGAGTAATCAATTACTATGCGCACTTTAGTTATGATGAACATAAGTTATGGTCTAGCAAGAAACTTAATTTTTTAGGATGCCTATAACAATGTCTGATTACTTGTTCACAAGTGTATCCTAGCGGATTATAGCCTTCATCCATACATTTGTTTTCTTTCTGAGTCATTCGCCTTTAATTGTCTTTCACAATTATCAATCAACATGCAATTTGGGAACATGGCAACGTGAACTAATGTTAGACTAAAAACTTTCACTTCATGGGGATGGGTAGTAGTTTGACATATGAGGTTAAATATTCAAAGCAATTCTAAACAAAGTAAAGTAGTTTAGATAAAGTGATACAAATCTTATTGGAAACACTTAAATAAGTAACCAACAGACTAACCTTCGTGCAAATGTCAGTAAAGCAGAACAGTAGAAATAAACAGTTGATAATGCTTCATAAGGATTATCTATTGGCAAATTTATTGAGGGAAGTAGACCAGGTGGTTGCTTATTACAACAAAGGTGTTGCAGACAGTTATATAATGGATTTAGACTGCGTGAAACTGTTTCACTTGGTTGATTATTGTTTCTTCTGAGACTGACACTTTGATTTGATTCATTTGGTAATGCATTTTGTGTGAATTTAGGGTTAGACTTTTGTTTGTCACCCATAATTGAAATATCAGATATAGTAGCTGTTAGTGATATGCAACTGAAAAGGAAGAAAAACATTTCAGCTCAAAATCAATGGAATGAGATGATAAAAAGGTTGAAAATTTATTTTATTATGACAAACGTCTTCATGAAACTTTCCAACACCTAGCAAGATAAATAGCATCTCGACCAGTTTATCCTTATTCACCTTATTGACTAGTGGTGGAATTCAGGATGGGCGTTTCTGTTTGAGACTCTTCAGCTGAACGTACCCGTGTTTTCTGTGAAATTTGTGTGGTACTATCATTAAGTTAGTTATCCTTAGAAGCAATGATGTTTGACACAGACACAGACATACCTAAGTCATTTCCATGAGAAAAATGCATTCGGGCTTTCGTACTCAAAAGAAGATGGTCGGTAAACTATTACCACGGTGGTCTTCGATGATGATTCTTGAAATCTTCACTCTCTTACTTTTTCTTTCAATGCAAGCCATCAGTCTTCACCGCTCTATTGCATTGTACTGCTGTAAACACCACACACTGAAGGGATATAATAATATACTTATCTTTTACTTCATTGAAAACCATTACTCAAAATTGTACTGTTAAGTATCCAGTGTATATCTCTTACTTAAGAACTAATTACATATGTTTAAAATGGTTAGTGCATGTTTAGGTGTTTCTAATGGTGTTATCAGGTTATTTATTTATTCAGTTTTTGAAAAATAGTGAAAAGCTGTTTTACTTTCGAAAGTCATCTGGAAATTTTAATGGGTAACGTCCTACTGGAAATCCGTGTACGCATAGCCAACGTTGTACTTGTTCCGTTGCCGCCCGGTCAATTAACTGCCAGTCCGGTAGGAATATACATGACCCATACCAATTGGTTCTTCTTGTAGCAGTTGTTGACGGTGACGATCTACAAGTGTGGATGAATCAGTGGAAAATGTATTTTATGCTGTGCCTAATAATGATTGAAATAAACATTTCCTCAATACGACAAACAACAACTAATATTTTCGAAATAGTTAATTGTTTCAGGAAATACATATTTCATCCATCATATTGTTATTGGCTTCCATTTGTATTGATAACGTTATGCTCAACATTGACAAGAAAAAGGTGTATTATTAAAGTTGTAACACTGTTTGACCAACTATACACAGGTTCACGAGAAGAATCCAATGAACATCAGAAAGTTAACTGAAAGTATTTTTAATTTGTTCATTTTAACAAAACAGGACTATTGGCCATCACTTTTGGTGCATAAATAGTGTGTCATCTATTCATTTTATAAAAGATAAACAGAAGGAAACTGTAAGTCTTGTTGGATGTATATGTCTAGCTACTGTCCAACCAGTCTTAGATGTTTATAATATTACTGATGGCTTCTCTTGCATCGGTTCACAAATCTTTAAGATAAATTCTTATGAATATCAGGGAACAGTGATACCATGTTTTAAAAAGTATCTTATTCATTTTAGAAGATTCATGAGTGAGACTAACCTTGTGTAGTGAAATATTCCAGTAAATCATCTTGATATAAGCTCATTACAAGGAGTGAAAGAATGAAGCGCAGAGACTTTTTTCCTAATTATCTTTGTGACTAAAATGATTACCTACATAATTATCAAAGTGGTTTACACGCCTGATCCATATTTTAGAAAGTTCTAACACATGACTCGAAAATTCTTAGATTAGCGAATGAAAATTAAATTTGATCTCATGAAAACAGTTTTCGCACTCAAAATTGAACTTACTCTTGAGGTAAATAAATGTTTATATCTGGCTTCTGATCCAGCTGTGTAGAGGTTTTGAATTCTTATTTCACAGTACAGACATTATTTACAATAACTAAGTTTCAGACAGCAACTTTAGTGGTTCAAGTCAAAAAGATGTTAAATTGCCGCAAATTCTGTTGCTTGGATTTAATATTGTTGTTAGAGTATCTTAATGAACTGCTTTGTATTTGAATGTTTTTACACAGGGGTGTTTACTGACTGTTACCGAGATGAATGAAGTTCCAAAGTTATTGCATCTGTATTTATTTGTTTGGTGACAGCAGTTCTTCTTGATGTTCTAGAGTTTAAGTAAACTTCACTGTTTTTGCTTGGATGTAGAAGAAAATCTCACAGTGGTTGGTGAGATATTGAAACTATCTTGTGTTAAGTTATGCTTTAGGAAGAAAAGAATTGTTTCGAACAAATAATACACGAATATTACCAACCACTGGGGTGAAGACATCCGTGCGGCCGCACCACAGGATGAGACTGTAAACCGTCCTCGTTTTAAAAAGCCTAGATATATGTTCTATTCTCGCCTGAAAAACTAATGTATGAATACCCGTTCAAATGACGGGTATGGATCATAGTATGAATACCAACTATAGTTTTCACACATCCCCATTCGCTTCTCAACCTTAATTTAGTATCCAAATTTTGATGTAAACCGTTCGCTTTCCATGCTAACTAGAAGCTTCATTTCTGAAAAAGTACCGGATTTGAATCAAATTGTCTACAGTTTTGTAATTTAAATAAAATGATCGGCTGCAGTTATATGAAAAAGGAGGGAGAAAAGATTTTTTCATTTTCTGTGTTGCCAATCAGACATGAAAGGATCAGATAGGAATATTAGTACCACGGCAGAAGAGAAAATTTCATATTAAGGTAAAATCTTCACTAAATTTTGTCCAGTGAATATTTATGAACATACAGTATTACTAATATTCCTATCTGTGAAACTGAATAACTTGGTAAACAAGGGTTCATAATCGGGAGTGTTATACGTAAAAATTGGTGGACTAGTAAGACAAAAACGTGTCTAATTACCTTGGTTGATCAGAATCTTCCAGGTTTCCAGAAGGATTTATGCCAGTGATTGGACCTACAGTATTTGAAAAATATCATGATTGGTCTGCATTTTTGAAGGATAAGTTATTCATAAAATTTAGTAAGACAGTAATTATAAAATTATGGATTGTGATTCAGTGTATCTAAACTAGTATTACAGGCTGTCAGTCATGACTCAAAGGGCTCAGTGGTAACGTCTTTGACTGTAACACTGAGTGAATTAGGTTCGAGCCCCATAAGAGTCACCGTTTCTATCAGGTTTGAAGATGCATTTTGCCACCAGACAAAACGTCTAGGTTCGTGATTTCCTGCAGATTGGCTCCCCCCCCCCACCAACTAACATCCATCAAAGTCCACCTTGATGGTGAGGCATATAGCTTGGTGGCCACATTGCAAAATGAAAGATCTCGGTCAGCACTGAGGACTAGACAACATTGGATTGGTTACTCAATTAGTCGATATATTCCTTTGAATAATTTTACCCCTTTCGATTCTAAAATGCTTTTCGATGTTCGTAGTTATTGATAATTATCAGTATTGATACAAATCACTTCACTATCAAATCATTCACCTAACATAGCTTAACGAATATTTTACAGATGAAGCTCCTCAGTGAAGTCTTACATTTGATAGGTAAAAAACAAGTTATTGTAGTCACGTACGATTACTTCTTTCATTTTACCTAGCGTCGGTTAGAGTCTGTGACCAAGAGAAGTTTCCAACAACTGCAATTTTCATGGCATTTTATGAAGAACAAAGTTTATCAAGTGTAGATAATTTACTTACTACTGGCAATATCGCGAATGTTATTGTTTGAATCCGTTAAACCATATGTACATTTTCCGACAGATTGCTGTCTCACGTTACTACCTAGGTTAGAAGTTCGATCTGAAGATGTGTCCTCTGTGTCAAGAAATTCTTTCTGTGAGAATTTTATTTCATCAAATAGTTTATATATTGTACTAATGTTTAAATTTGATGTGTATTTCATTTCTTTCATTCTGCTGTTGATTAGTCCGGGATCCTAAACGAAGTTGTAGTGAAACAAAATTACTATACAAAAAGTACTGTTGGTGGCATTAAGTAATTACGTAAGATTAAGAAAGCAAATGAATATTAATAGAACAAGGAGTGAAAAGGTGTACAAAGCAATACTAAAAGATACATCATGTTGATGACGACGACAGTGCAAGTGGTTGAACAAATTCCTTTTGGAATACAAAGGTTATGTTGATGAAGATGGATTGTAATCGCCTCTGCTATGTGAAGTAAACGAAAGAGCAAACCATGTGGTAAATCAATTGGTATACGATGAATAATCTTGATTGCTTTGCTGGTATCCACTTGATTCCAGTGTCAACTATGTGTGCAAGTAGGGAGCTCTTTACTGTTTTAATCCATCCCTTGTTCAACCATGATGAGTAGTGTTCCGAAATCCTATGATAGACTTGACTCATCTAACGTCTGTCACTAATAATAGCAATTTTTAGTCCCTTATAATGACCCTGTTGATAATCTACATCTTAACTTCTTAAACTTATCATCTTTATGACTTAGTTAAAAGCTATAATTGTCATCCATCAACCCCGGACCACTTGATTAGTATTCCGATTGAATCGCAAACCTAAATGTTAGTTTATAGCTAAAGATGATGACCTGACTGAAAATGAATATATTTCTTCGCTAAATCCGTATTTTTATATGTCTATATGAGAATTCTCAATTTATTAATAAAAAGGAAAAGAAAGAAATTCGTTAAAGACATCACTATATCTGATTGTTTGTTATTATCTTAAACCATATTGAAGCTTACAACTAGGCAATCGAAAAATATTATTCTTTCTACTGACTCTAAATCTGATTACACTAATATGCTAAAAGGGAAGTAAGAAAAAAATATCGGATTAGTGTTAAGGCTGTTGAAATGAGCAGTTGGTATTAAAATTCTTAATGTATACCTAAAAGTAAAAACCTGAATCATTTTAGCTTCGAACCAGAACTCTAGATTTACTGTTAACTAGTTCGTTGTTTGTTACTAAAGGGAGCTACTTGTTCAGCTGCTTTTATTGACTGATGGTCATCGTTCTTAGTGTACTGTTATCACTGTTCGACCTATATGACAAATACTGCTTGCATAAACTGTAATGGTGGGACAAGCATTTTTTCCTATATGGTTTATCAGTTCACTGAATATTTGTTACTCATTACGACCAGGAACCAACCAGCTTTATCGGCGATCCATTCTCCAATACACGTTGTTTCCATAGTCAACGTATGAACCAGTTTCCATTAAGCACGAATTAAAAGAGAGGAGAGTGGAAGTATATGTACAAAATAACTTGACATTTAGCATAGAGCATGATTTAACTGATGGGACAGATTTTTATGTATCCTGGTCAAGATTTGACCGTATATTTTCACAAATATTTGGTGCCGAGTGAAAAGTTGACATTTGATATGTTATATTTGAACTAATCTCAGCGTATAATTTTGAAATAGTGGGGAATATTTGTAGCTGAGGTGGATGGTCTTGGTTGCATTGTGTTTTCTGAGCTGGGTTGTTGGATCGTGAAGCTTTCATCGTCTTTCATGCTGAAGCTAGTGTTGATGATGTCGTCTAGAAAGACGATGAAAGCTTCACAATTAAACAATCCAGTTCATAGAACACAATACAACCAAGAATCTCAGCGTGTTTGAAATAAGAAATTCTAACTTTTCGTACGAAAGTCTGATCTGAGCTTCTTCAGGGCTAGCCACGACCCATCATTTACATATTAGTCATTATTGTCTGTGTATGTAGAATATGTACTTGTTGTAAGTATGTCCCGCAAAAACATGTCATTTTTGTCTATATATGAGACAAATGGTTAGCTGTTTAAGGATTAGAGGTATAATAAAACCTGTTGATTGGTCCACGAGACGCGGTTACTGACTAGTCACTGAAATTTCCTCCTGAGCCGTAAAAACGATAGCTACGACAGATAACAATTCTGAAAATTGTTGTTCATGGTTTATACCAGTGAGCGATAATATTCCTTCTGTAGCTTGTCATAAACAGCAATCGTTGGGTTAGGTTGTTACAATGTTGTACCTTTTTTGAATCTTAATATCTACTGAGATCTCATGTTCAAAGATAACGACAACACATCATGGTTTATCATATCAGTTCATGTATTCATCTGTTGAATAACGTTAAAATTTTAGTTGACAAAATGTTATTGTTGAGCATAACCTTGCAGGTAGTATTCGGCCAGCATATTTTCACTGTCATTTGGGCTTTAAGTAAAAACAATTAAATGCTGAATGGAAATGTCAAAATCGAAAACTGATGTTAATACATAGAAACAAGAAATTTCAAAAGTATAGCTCATCAAACAAAAAACCCACTCAACCACCTTGTGTCCATCCATACAGAAGGCTATGAGCCGCACCTACTGTGTGAAGGCAGGAGATATTACCTGGTTGCCCAGGTATCGGTAGGCAGAGAGGGATTCGAACCCATTACCCACTAGTTTATAATCACCTCCGCAAACAAATAAGCCACGGCTCCACCTCATTATACATAAATCTTAGAGTTTGAACAATCAGTAACTCAATGCGTTTCCGCGCCAACATAGGTAT